ACGATTCGATGGCTAGATCGCTTGCGGACATCATTGTGCTTTCCATTGGATGTGGTGGTACCTGGCGCTCGCGTGACGTCGCAGTTCGGCATGCGGAAAGAAAGCTAAGTATAGCTTTCACCGCCTGGTTCTGGTCAGATTCGGAATTAGAAGGAGCAAGTGAGTAAATAAAGTATAGCAGAGCTGCATGAGCGCATGATTGATGGGAAAGCGATGCCATCAAACTCGAATGTTGAAGTTGATAGGATACATGCAAGGAGTGAGGTGCAAGGTCGACAGCGGGGAAGGCTTGACCTCGCGAAGTGCGGGGGGCGCTAAGACCGCCTTGGCTCCACGCGACTGGTCGCCTCTATCGCCAGAACTTCATCACTATCTCCCTATCCCACCTTTGATAAGCTCATCGACGCGCATAACAACTCGCAATCCCTAACATGTCGAGATTCGTGATTGAACATTTATTTCGAGTTGCTAGTGCGCTCTCAGAACGCTTCTATACTCCTCCAAGGCCAGCCGAAACAGCATGTCGCGCACGATCCGCATAGCCGCTGCACAGGTTGGCGCAGTCCATCGCACTGACATCCGTGAAAACACCATAGACCGACTCGTCCGTCTTCTCAATCAAGCCGCTGAGCAAGGCGCACATGTTGTACTATTCCCATAATGTACTTTTACCACCTTCTTCCCTCGTTATCTCATCACCAATGAAGCGGAACTCGAGTCGTTCTTCGAACATGGCGATGTGACTACAGCAGAAAACACAAGACCTATCTTCGAACGAGCTAAGGAGTTGGAGGTCGACATCTGCATCGGATTCGCAGAGGCCACAGATGACGGCGACCACTACAACTCCTGCGTCTATTATCACGCCAAGTCCGGATCTATTCTGTCGAAGTATCGAAAGGTGCATTTACCCGGAGACGTTGACCCTTTCCCCGAGCCCGATACCGTCAACCAGCTTGAGAAGCGATACTTTAAGCCGGGTAATTTAGGGTTCAACGCCTTCCGAGTACCTGGCCTAGTGGAGACCACACCTGAACATGGCGAGCCCATCTTCGGCATGATGATATGCAACGATCGACGTTGGGCAGAAGCTTGGAGGAGCTTGGGTCTCCAAGGCGTCGAAGTTGTTCTCGTGGGCTTCAACACGCCTGGCTTCGCTCCTCAGATGTGGGGTGCATCCGCCGACGTGAGTCCAACTGAAGCACGTGCGGAGGCCATCTTCCATCACAAGCTAGTCATGCAGGCCCACTCATACACCAATGCATGCTTCTCCGTCAGCGCAGCGAGATGCGGGTTGGATGACGGGAAGTACGATCTGGTAGGAGGTTCGACTATCATTGGGCCTGATGGAAAGATTATGGTTGAGAGCAAGACGGAGGAGGATGAAATCATCGTCGCCGATTGCGACCTTGATCGATGCCTACCAGGCAAGACGCGGACGTTTTACTTTGCGAGACATCGGCGAACGGAGCATTATGGTATTCTGACTTCGCAAACGGGAGTGGTCGAACCGCCGCGACTAGCACAATCGGAAAACGCGCATCATGAACCCAAGGCTACAGCGAGCAATGGTAACCGTAAGCCGCTGGCCTCCGTCACAGGCGCCAGATCTTCAAAGCACATTCGCATCCTCCTCTGCAACCCCAACACTACCAAACGAATGACAGACGCCTGTCTAGAAACGCTCAACCCAACACTCCCACCCAACGTCACCGTTTACGGCTTTACAGCCCCTAAACCAGCGCCATCAGCTATCGAATCAAACTTCGATAACATCATGTCCGCAGCCGCCGCCGCCCGAGCCATCATACCCGTTGCACATCAGTACGACGCCTTCCTCATAGCTTGCTACAGCGATCACGCACTCATAAAGGTCCTTCGTGAAGCACTCTCGCAGCCGGTAGTTGGTATCATGGAGACCTCGCTGTTCGCTGCACGAACGCTGGGTGGACGGTTTGGCATCATCGCAACAACACGACGATCGCAGTATACGCTGGAGGACTCTGTGAAACACTATGGTCTGGGGTCGTTCTGCGCTGGGGTGAGAAGTTGTGATATCGGGGTATTGGAGTTGGAATCGAAGCCTGAAGAGGAAGTGCTTGTTACCATGTGCGACGTAGGCAAGAGGTTGGTTGCAGATGGTGCTGATGTGTTGACGCTTGGGTGTGCGGGCATGACGAACATGAAAGCTGCTGTTGAAGAGGCGGTTGGAGGTCATGTGCGAGTGATCGATGGTGTGCTGGCTGGGGTACATCATCTGGTTGGTCTTGTTAGACTTGGGATGCAAACGGCTAAGAGCGGTATGTACGCGAGCGCGGAGATAGACAGAGCGAAGAGGCCATCGTTGGTGTTGAATGCGTTTGATACATGAACGCCTGCATGACATCCTCCCTAGGGTCGGTGTAGCATGAACACCACGTATATATGCTCGCTCAAGTCCAGCGCAACCTCGTAGTTATGCCAACATCATCTCTCACGTATTCAACCACCGTTCAACATCGACATGGCCGGGGAACAACCTCCCGAACAGCCTACGGCCAAGCCTGCGGCATCAGAATCCGACAACTTAGAACGCTTTGCCGAACACGTCAACGAGCGCAAGAGAAGGCGTAACCTGTGGGGTCAGTACGTGGACGAGCAGTCACGCAAGAAGTCTGACGGAGAGAAGTCTGTTCATACACCAGAGCCTTCTGCGTCTACCAACTCGAAGGCAACGCAAACTGATGATACGCCGTATGTCACAGAGCCGGACGTTGATAGCGCCACGGGAGTTGGTGACAAGGACGTGGAAGGAGAGAGCGTGAAGCTGGTAAACGAGGGTGGAGATGAAGATGGGTTTGTTAAGACGCCTTGTGTTGGTGGTGTGCCGGAGGAGCAGGATAACATGGATTTGTATGAGCCGTAATGCGACAACGATGAGATTGTTGACCGTCGACAGTCGATAGCTGATTGCAAGGCGTTTACACTGTCTATCATGGTCTACATGGCCGTTTGTACCCGCCCGTCACACTAGTGACGCTTAAGTTACGAATGACCACTGCTAATCCCGAGGTCACCCTTGCATATATAGTCCGCTTCTAATTCCTCTGTTATGACAATTCTCACTGCCCTACTTACACACAGCTTCATTGTTCTTACCAGTCCCTTATCGGATAAGAGAATTCGTAACATTTGCCGCAATGACTAACACATCTCCCACGAGGCTATGGGGGAAAGAACAGCCTCGTTCTGACTCTGAGAGGAAAGGCTCCCAAGGAGAATTTGGTCGGGAGACTGAAGACCCGAAAGAAGACCCGAGAGCTAAGATAGCTAGAATCACGATGGAGAGTCAAAACCAGAAAGCTGCGGACCCAAAAATCACTGGTGAAGAAGAGGAGCAGAGACGTATAGAAGAAGGGGACAACGGAGATCTAGAAGCAGAGGAAGGGGAAGCTGAAAACAGTGATGGGAGAGTTGGTAACGTGATGGACAGAGTTCGGGAATTGGAGCGTAGGTCGTAACGCAGTGACGCAAGCTCTTCCACTTTTACTTTAGCCTTAACCCAAGATTTAACACTCCCGCGTTTTGCAGAGCAACATATTGATACTTTTTGACAATAGCTATTCAGAGACCCTGCGGAGGCCTGTAGCCCTCCGCAAATTTGAATCCCGATCTTAAGACTATTGAGACATGCGCATAAGATCAAGCTATACATGCCACCTCTTTACCGGAAGTAAGTCGGCGCCGTAGCCTTAGCAGCCATCCAAGCTTCATCCAACGCCTTGACAACATCGTCAGGCAACGGTCCCTTCTCCAGATCCGCCAGATTACCCTCCAACTGCTTCAGACTGCTAACACCAATAATCACGCCATCATTTCCGCCCTTAACCCTGGTCTTCAACTCAGAGTGGTGGACACACCAGCGCAGCGCTATCTCGAGCAGGGTCAGGTCATGCTTCTGCGCAGCATCTTCAGCGATCTTCAGAGCCTGGAACGTGGCGTCTTTGAAGTAGCGGTCGCGGTACATGCTTCCGACGCGATCTGCTTTGGTGCCGAAACGGCCTTCGTCGGGCTTGATGTCTTTGGATTTGATCTTGCCGGAGAAGAGACCGCCAGCTAGGGGGTTGTAGATGACGATGTCGATGCCGTATTTGCGGCACGCTGGGATGAGCTCGGGTTCGATGGCGCGGGCTTGCAACTATTAGACAATGCTCTCCGTATGAGAAGATGAATACTTACTGATTGCGTTGTACATGGCCTGGTAAATGGTCGGCTTCACCCAGCCCCGCTCCTTGCAGATGTTGTACACCTCCGCAACTTCCCACGCAGCGAAATTGGAAAGACCCAAGTTGACAAACTTGCCCTGCTTGTGCAGCTCATTCACAGCACCGAGTGTCTCCTCGAACGGCACGGAATGGTCCGGCGCGTGCAGGTAGAAAATGTCGACACAGTCTGCGCCCAATTCTTTGAGACTAGTTTCAAAGTGTTCTTTCAGCCTATCACGCTTGTGGACACCAGCCTCATAAGGATACACCTTGGTGGCGAGAGTAAAGCCACGGTCCTTCCACCCCGCCTGGCGCGTCCATGCCTCTTGCTTGCCGCCAACGTACATGCGCGCCGTGTCGATCTCATCGTAGCCCTGGGACTGGAAGTAGTCGAGATGCTTGGTGAATTCGTCGAATTCAGTGATGCGCGCGCCGCTGGTCTCGTCGGGACCTGGGATGCATTAGTCATGGTGTTGGGGTGTTGATCGGCGGAGCGTACCGAATGTCATCAACCCGAGAATGACTCGGTCTTTGGGGTTCTGCGCGATGAGAGGCATCTTGGCTTTCTGTCTTAGTTGTGCGGTAGTACGAAGTAAGGATTATTGATGGAGAGCTTCACGCCTGCCGTCGTTGTCGCGAGATGACGACAGCGGGGCGCCCCACCCGGAGATAAAGACGCGGAGATATGCGGAAGAGCCGAACGAACCTTCTTCACTGATGGATGTCGATACACAAATGCTGCGAGTATCCCACTCCCTATTGCTTCGATTTGTACCTCAGTCCATTCCAGCGAAACGCTTCCAAGTCGTTATGAGCCTTATCTACGTCAACATCCTGGTCGCTCTCGAGCCTTCCGGGTTTAATCCACGCCCATCCCTTAACGAAGATGGTCTCCTCTGATGACATCCAATGCCAGATCAGAAGTACTGCCGCGGTAGTTGGTAGAGAGGCAGCCCAGTAGATGCCAAAGCTTGGCTGTATGACCTTTGGCCCGTCCCACTTGAGTAAAGGCATAGCGAAAAGAGTAGCGAAGAAGGTAGGAGGCAGAAAGATCATGGTCATGATCGCGATAGTCTTCATCGAGTAACTGTCCTTTCGTGCTGCTAGTGCGATCTCCTTGCTACTTTTAGCATCGTCACGCGTGAGTAGGTTGAATATCTGGAGTTCACAATCAGCTGCTGGTGCGACGTCCTGGATTGTTTGTTTCAACCTACTACAGCCTGCTGCGTGCGGCCACGCTCTTGGAGATAAACTGCCTGCAGCTCGCCCGATTTCGTCTGACCTTCCAACATCGATGCAGCGACAAGGATATTGTCCAATGGCATTTGAACGCTGGGAGTGCTCGAAGATTGCGCAAGCGTCGAATGAATTGATGACAAGGGTTGAGCTGATACAAGGTCGTTAAGGATTGCTCTTACAATGCAAGCGTGCCGGGAGACATTTGCAAGTGCCGTAAGTACGAATCCTAGCCGCTTAGAATGCTTCATTAGCTCATCCGTACTTGGAGGAGAGTCGTGCAGCACCTCATGCCATGCGCCATGCCCAGTGGTAACCTCTATGGATCGAATGCGGCCCAGGTTTTCGAAAGCAGTGCCTTCGATCCAACGGACCGTTTGTATGGCACACACGAAGGAACAGAAACGCGCGTCGCTTATAAGACCCTTGTGATGAATGATGGTGTCTATCACACTCTTAAAGATCTGCTGAGGATACTGGGAATGTTCTCGGGGTATGAGCACGGCTTTGGTGGTCGTCGCATGAGGGTCGTAAGTCCACAGCATCGTATACGACACGGTATGAAGATAGCAAGTATACTGTGTACCACCTTCCTTCAGTCGAGGAAAGAACCCGTATGTCGAAGACACTATCATGCCAAGCCAGTACGGATCATACCCGAAGTTGTCAAAGATCTCCAGAAAAGTCCGCTGGTCAATGGAGAGAACTCCGTCAAACTCGCGCTCCAACCTGATCAGCCGCATGGATGCTGTTGCTGTTTCGTCGCCGTTCTTGGGGATAGGTGTATTGATCTGGTCCCAAATCTCAGAAGTCTGGGACCAAGGAATGTCTGTCAGTTTGACAGTTGTCTCTACTTTCGGATATTGCGCCACAGTTAATAGCGAAATTCTAGCATCGTGTAATTCGGCACCATGCTTGAACTTTTGCTCTGACAGAAACCGCGCCCGCGCTTGCGTTCGTAAGCTGTTCATTGATGTGGATTCTCGCTGTGAGCTGAAGAGGCAGATTCAATGCAGCAAGCTGAATTGACCAGGAATTATGAGGTTGAGGAGCGTGCAGGCGGCGTGGCAGGGCTATTGAGTCGCGACAACATTGGGGCTGAGCCATTGCACTGCCTTGGTCTTCAGCTTCTGTCTCTATCATCCACTCCTTTCACCTGCATATGGCATTTTTGACCGTTCGACGTCTTTGCGCTCATCAGTGCACCGTATCTTGTGAACCTTCCGCAGGATGCGCGCGCGGCACGAGTGAAGATTAGCGTGATTACACAGCGTGAGTGGATTTCCTTCGGCGGGACAGCGGAATGTTTCCGACATCTGCTCGCGCTCTTTCCTCGTGTTGCATTCCATCCGCGATGTTCTCAGATCATCTCTCCAGTTTCTCTCTTGCATGACGCAACATGTTGTTAACGCGTGTTCATGCCAAGTCGCCATGCAACAGCCCGACACCGAACTGACAGGACTCGTGCAAGTGCGATCGGAACGAGTCGCAAGCACTTGATCTCGGGTTCTACCGCATCCCCACCTCTTGAGGGTCGATCAGCTCTGGCTCAGGCCCAGCTCTTCATTGGATGAGTCATCGTATAGCATGCGACATGTCCTAACCCAGGCTGCTCTCAATACTCCGGCGCCGCCGACATCGTTCTGATGGTGTCGGTCACGGCAATTGCAATATAGATTGCGCTGCCTTGCTTCCGAATGGTTCCTCGATTCATTGGAAACGCCACGAATTGGTTGGGAAAAGGTGTCTGCGCGCGACTATTGGATAGCTATCTCGGACCTACCAAGCCTCCGCGACGCGCGCGAACTGCTTGCAGCAAGGCGTCGAGGCGGAGCGTGTGTCTCGCGAACGCCGTCTGTGCTAAGGACGTGCAAAAGCAGGAACAGCACACTCCCGCGGCCGTGCAACCCTTGAAGGCGATGATGAGGAATGGCTGAAACCTTGCGAGGCATCGCAGCCAGCATTCACAGCTCGCTTGGGACGGTGGGGCGCTCTCGCACCAATGACGTCGCTGATGGGCCGATAAGGATAAGGAACCCAACATGTTGCAGCGCTCGGCTGGTCAGGCGGTCATCATCATGCAGCTAACCTGCACCATCATGCACCATGCTGCAGCTAGCAATGCCCATCACCCTCGCAGCATGGCCGAACTCTGCACCCAGGATCGTCCCGCAACCGTCCCGCCGCTCTTCTGTACAGCACAGGTGCCACGTAGCAGCGACGCAGGTACGCACAGAAGCCGCACACAAAGAAGCATAAACGTCGCGGGCAGATCGCTGCAGCTTATAAGACTGACAGCCGGCCCTGCGCTGGTGTTCCAGTGTTCTACACTCCATTTCACTGCAGACCGACATCTGCAGTGCGCCAGACAATGAGGCGATCAGCTGGAGCCCGAGGTGTCATGTGGCCCAGTAAGCCACTGTGTGCAAACTTACGAATCAGTCACTTTCTCGCACACCATCAAGTGGGCTGTGCCCTGATTGGAGCGCAAACCCTCGATACAAGGTACTTTGACTGAATCCTTTCTTGATTTAGCTTATGGCCATGCGTCTATTGGAATTTGGCCTCCACGCCGCGACTGCGGTGCACTTGCTCCCTTGCCCGGCCGGAACACTCTTTGTCTTCACATGATATCATAATTCTCAATCCGCTTCTCTCAAGTCTCCTTCCCTTGAAACGCTAGATCGTTCCTGTCTATTGGCTTGTGTCGCGCGTCTTAAGTATCACCCGCGTTCCCCCATCGTCGAATTTAGCTTTCCGAACTTCGGCATCTGCATGCATGCAGTCATCACCTCTTCAGAACCTGGATACTGGACTTGAACCTTGGGCGCATAGCGATCCGAGACTTGCATCTTGATCGCCATGTGTTGGTCTTTCAACTTTGGCTTTCCAGGCAACAAAAAGCGTAAGGACTCGTCGTCGTCGGATGAGAAGAAGAGGCGGGACCGACCGGCGGATAGCGCGCTTCATGGAGAGGGAAGGCCAGTTGCTGCAGAATATTCGGAGAAGCGCAGCTCCAAAGACTCGAGCAGAAGAAGAAGATCTGGTGACTCTACCCCGCGATCTCCGCGGTCACCGCGCCACGAAAGAGAGAGGGAGGAGCACCGTCCGCGATCGCAACACCAGTACGAAGATGCATACCGAACTCGCGAGAGACGCCGCTCTACCCTGGATGTCGAAGTGCCGCAGGTGTATCGCCGTGCAGCTGAGCCAAGTAGCGTCAACTCATCACAAGAGGCTCTGCTGAACCCACGCCCCCACCGAAGTCAACACCGTCGGCGGCAGCACCCAAAGCAAACGTCGCAAAGCACTCTGCGCGGGCGCGGAGCAAAACGCGACCCTGTAAGACATTCAAAATCGAAGAAAAACGTCCGACCTGAACCTTCTCGGGGGTGGTCACTGTTTGCGCCCTCCCCGCCAAAGACACCCAAGCGCGAACATCGCAGTTACCAGACCCTGGATTCTTCGCCCCGAAGCAACCGCTCATCCCGCCAGCATCGCTCCTCGACTGCATCTCAGACAAGCCCAGAGTCATCACGATCTCAGAACCGCCACCACCGTTCTCGTCAGCACGACCAGTCAGCTTCTTCTCCGCGCCAAGCGCGTTCTCGCACACCAAACACAACTGCTCGTCGCGTGCCTGACAGACGGTTCGCTGTACTCGCTGCCACCAACCAGGCGCTTGAGGAAGTCCGACAAGAAGCATTCGCGCAACCCTCTCCACCTCCGCGACGAGAGAGGCTGCGACGGTATGAAGGTGTTACTATCCCGACGTCGCAGATACCTTTTAATTGGGATTGCGTAAGCAGTTCGCAGGCCTCAGCTAGACCAAGCCATCGGAGTGGTGAATCGAGTGGTCGGAGACGGTCGCGTCGTTGATGTGTTCATTCATGAGCATTGCATCTCGCATCTCACTCAAGCACCTGGCCAATGCCGTCCCGGCAGACCCGGCAACAGACATGCCAGTGGCGCATTATCGCACATTGTGTAGCGATTATTTCCTTTTCTTCTCCGCATGTTCTCGATAGTCTTGTAGTAAGATACCCCCGGCATATCATCGGTAGTTCTGGGCGTTCGCATCACATCATTCGGCCCCGGCCTAGCACAGTCCATTTGGCGTTTTTTGGCAACACAATACCCCTGCATCACATATTCCCGCATCGCATGTAGCTCCCATCGTTGTAATAGTAGTATACATATATTCGCATTTTGAAAATCATCTTTGTTCTGCATTGCGCTTACCCTTCATTGGTGGAGTAATCGAGGCGCCCTTGTCATAGCACCTGGGCACCTACGCAGAATGCCACCACGTGACGTCTTTGCGCGGAACACAGCCCTGGTAGGTCTGTGATCACCGCAATGATCTGAGCACGTTGCAAGTCTCATATATACGCAAAGGTACGTTCATATGTAAGTATGACCATTGATACACAGCATGACCACCAACAACACCCCATACCCCATGTGCCATCAAATGTCCACTTCTCGGTTGGTTGGTTCGATGTCTTCGGTCTTCCAAGGTTGGTAACAGCAACCACGGTATCATCTGAACCACAAGTTCGCGAGATCATGTGCTCTAGGCGGAGATGTCGCTGCCTTGGGGATGGTCGAGGCCTCGAGAGACCGTAACTCAGCAAGAGCGGAGGCCCTGACGTCGAAGTCGTGAGCTGGGTTGCCATGGATAAACACGGCTCTTGCCTCGGCGACGATGAGGTGTTGCAGCTCAGTGGTGTGAGCGTGCTCGAAGACGGCCGATATGCCACATCGCGAGCCTCTACGAACACTAACCCCATTCCAGCATCCCCAAATCTATCCCTCCCGCTCATTGGCCACGGAGCATCTTCCTCAGTAACTCACACCTCCATCCCCTTGCTATCTCATCACCTACCTTTCTAGGCAACTTCGGCGTGAAGTTCCATTCAACGGATCGGCAAGCGCATGGCACAGTTCTTCAAGGATGCGGTTGTGGTGGAAAGATGCGAAATTGGGTAATGGTAATATGTTGGTGTTCGGGGAATTTCACCGAGGTACAGGACGGGTATTTTGTGGAGCCTGGGCTTGGCGGTGGGGCGGGCTCGTTAGGGGGGAGCTCGAGCACAAGACCTGAGACCTGTCTTCTGGGCGTCCTTGTCACATCAGTTTGCGACGCGACTCACGTTTGCACTTTTATTGTGGTTTTGGCTGCGCATTGTTCGACAAGAGTTGGACGACTAGACGCATGCCAAAACACCCACGAGGCTCATTGCATGTCCATACGGAATGTTCAGGATCTGCGCATCGCATGCCTGGGTCTCCATCAAGATCTATTGTCGGACCACGAGCCACCAGCATCCGTCACCAGCGCCTCCAATTGAGCAACAAACTCATCCCACGCGTCCTCGTTGTGCTTAGCAATCCCGTAGTGCCACTGTGGGTAGTTCTTCCCTTCCACCGTGCCATCGACATCCATCACATAGTCTCGATGCGGCAGATCATTCGACTCCGGATAGATAACGTGGAAGGAGACGTCATCTACAGTCAAGCGATCTGTTGAGTTCTGCTGCTTTCTCTTTGAACTCAGCCCGCATGCGATGAAGCGAAAGGTGTAGCCTTTGGGGAACGGCGAGATTTCGATACTTGCTAATGGTTTGCGTCAATTCAGGTATAGTGACTTGCGGAGGCTGAGCAACTTACAATTCCTGCTCAACTCGAACGCCTGGTATGGCTCCTGCGGTCCCTCTTCATGCATGCGAGTGAAAGCTTCGTCATCGAAACCTACTCCTGCGGCCGGCCTCAGTCGTTTGTGGTAGGCTTTGGTGTCGTCTACAATGAGGTAGTACGTTCCTGATCCGTCTCGGCGGCAACAGAGGAAGGTCGCTTGGTTCACTGTTAGTGTCCATGTACGGCGGCTCTCTCAAAAGAACGTACCACGGTCTTCATCGTCACTCTCGCTCTCGCCTTGGGCTGCGTGTGGCATCTTCATCGTCACCCTGGCTTTTCCTGTAGGCTCATTCATGCCTTTAGCTGCTTCGTAGCGGTTAGCGACAACTCTCCCGTTCTCTCGTAAAGTTTTCACTTACCGTTGGCAGCATCTTCACTGGCCTCGCCACCAGTCTCATGCGACAATGGTTCAATACCGACTCCAGTCTCGTTCAGTCCTTGGGGGTGGGGATCTGGTCGCACCGATGGGCCCTGCCCAGCTGCGTAGTTCAAGAGGTATCCGTCTCGCTCGGTAAACGGTCTTACATGCGTGCGAACCCCGGGACTCTCATCCGGCTTGTACAAGATAGTCATGCACTCCAACAGTTCTGCTTCAAGCACGAGCACACCACGTACGCGAGTGCCAGCCTTCTCTGCCATGTTCACAGTCGGACCGGACAGTGTGCGAGATATGTCCCAGGTAGAGTCCCACAGGCAGTTCACTATACGTTCTTCTTTGGCTTCGATGACGTAGTCTTGAAGAATAGAGAGATGGCCAGGCATGTTTGCGAAGTCTTCGGCGATGTACAGTCCAGGCCATTGTGTCCTGTAATACATCTCTGAGTCCGGGCTTGTTATGGTCTCGAGGTCTTTGATTGCATCTTTGAGCTTGATGAAGGCGTTTCGCGTTTGGGCCATCGTGTCTTGCTAACTCTTGGTGCTGGGTGAGCTTTTGGTGGGTGCCATAAGATGAGGTTAGGCGTCATTATATGATGAATCTTGTAGTGAGTTTGATAGCAGTATACTTGCGTCTGGTCAAGCTGATCACGGCAATCGATCAGTCTAGTCAAAGCAAGCAGTCTCCAAACATGGCGACGTCAGCACCCGATGCGCCCCATACGTTTTCGTCACGAGTTGTCCCGTCTTACGCTTCATCAAACATGCACAAAACATCATAGCGCAAACCTCGCTCTCGATCTTGCGCAGACTGGGCATCTTCCATTCGATACGCACACTGAACTCGTCACATTTGGTCTGACACGGAAGCTATAGCACAAATGCGATGGAAGACAAGTGAGGTACTAACAGCTCCCCCAATACCAACTATACCATGAGCTACTGGTCATCATCACCCCTGCGAATCAACGGTCGATGCCCAAGTGATGCCACAAATGCCTGATCATTATGTCTCCTCCTCCTTCTTCGACTCCGCTTCACCTGCTAATGATAGTAAGCGTTCATTCTTGGCATCAGCCAATGAGAATTGACTTACCTGCATCGTCCTCATCCTCCAATCCAAGAAATCGCCTTGGAAGAACCCGCTTATTCTTCCGCAAGTCGTTGGGCTTCTTGTTCGAGTCTCTCACATAGTCCATGATCTTGCAATACTTCTCTCCCACATCCATAGGCGAAACGCGTAGTCGTGTGCCTTCACCATCATTGCCCGATCGGATCAAGATCGTCAGTTCCTCCTTAAGCTCGTTTCCGAAGATCAAAAGGCCATGAACTTTGATCGCAAGCTGCCATGGTTGAAGTCCTATCCTGTGGAGGTCTACCTTCTCTTCTTCCCATGCAGAGTCCCAGAGAACTTGGATTTGTGGCGGTTCACTGAACTCACGCAAGATCGTGAAATGGTGTGGGTAACGTCCTTCGTCTGCGCGTATGTACAGCCCCTTTCTGCGTTTGATGGCAAAGTACTCTTTGCCGTGGCCGGAGAAGAGGTCTTCGAAGTTCTTGAAAGCAGATTTGAGTTTCTGGAAGGTGACTTGAACGCTTGGGTCTTTTTCGAAGCTGTAGTCCATGGCGGCTGCGATGTGACTATGGATTGACCGTCGTAGCTGGACGCCTTGCAGTGTTATAACTTGGCTGATGCGACAAGTTTGTGCATGGCACACTCAAATCGTACAGAATGGCCTTTGCGCCTGTCGCGCTTGACCTCGCAGCAAGCACTCACCGCATGTCACAGAGGCCGACTGCTGTCATTTGAGATTTGGAGTCACGAGTGGCGGGGACGAAACTGTGCCAATACCGTCCCCGAGGCGTGAGATAGCATGGTGATTTCCTTCGTAGACTGCTCGCCAGCCCTTTCAATCTTATCGTGGGTCCGCATTCCATCACTATACTCTTCTACCGTATTCGGTTTTACAAAACAACAATCTGTTGTGATCACAATGCAGTTTTGTTTTCGGGAATAGCACGCGCAAATACCAAGACCTAGCCTGACATCATTTGCGCCGTCTTGGGTGATGAAGACCTGACGGTAACAGTAGTGTATGCCCCAAAGGCCCACTGCAATATTACGTGAGTCTTACCCAACACCAAAGTCTTCATCAATGCGCATCGTTCCTTTATGTTGCATCGCAAGCGTTCTGGTTATCTACCGTACTCTACTCATTATCTTCATCGCCACTTTCCATCTCAGCCTCCCCACCATCATCCTCCTCACCGCTCTCCTCACCTTCCTCGTCAATCTCCTCCTTGTCTTCTGCGTCAATGTCATCAAGCTCTCCGTCACTTTGCTTGTACATCCATATACGTCCTTCCCCAAAAATCTCCTCCAGCTTATCCATAAACCTCGGAAACATGAGCACATTGTGTTTCGCATAGTCTTTGTTGTGCATACCCTGCGCCCTACCATTGTACTTTCCTTCCCACGTGTCGTGCTTGCACGGAGCATGCCAACGATCAAAGGGTAGATGCAGGTGAAACTCCTTCCACTTGATTGTTGTTCTGCTGCTCTTCGTGCTCTTACCTTTGAAGATTTTCCCTTCTATAGGGCCGCCTCTGATCTGTGTAGTATGGCCGCAGTTGTTGAGACGCAGGGTATATCCGTGTTTGAAGGCGTAGTATTCGATATCAAAGGGCTCATCGGTATCGTCTTGCTGCAGAAGATCGACGCGTCTGTTCTTGCCTAGCTGCATCTTTGGTGCGCTCGGGTCTTGTAAGTCGAGGATCAGAGTGACCCAGCTGGCATTGTGCTCGTGAACATAAAGGAATAACGCTGGTATACTGTTAGCTTTGTCTTGCCAGCTTGCTGATGCGGTATAGAGTACTTACAGTCATCCAAACCTGAAGCTACAACACCGGTGCTGCCGGACGCTGAGTCGCCAGTGACTATCGGATTAACGTTTTCGCCCACTCTAGCTGCCGGAATAGGCCTCTTGAAGTCGTCCTCAGTCACCCGCGCTGGATCGTGTGCCTTCGCGTACTCCTGAACAAACCCAAGACGCGCGCTTTTAGGCTCGGATCGCATGATGCTAGGTATACCCTTGACCGGGGCATGATAGACTGTAATCGGTTGACTCAGCTTCTCGTAATCGGTTACAACGCCCAGGGCAGAATGAGCCGCGTTGCGGGCTACCTCCACTGTCATTTCGGCGAATGGCTGGGTGTGGTCCCATGAAGAGTCCCACACTAAGAAGTCCTCGGTACCGGCATGTCTGATCACTGTGGTGCGGCCGTGGACGTTTGCAGGGTTCATCGTGATGTAGAGCCCGGCGATGTTGTCATGTAGCCAGTACTCATCTTTGGCTCCTTCTTCTGGGCCTTTTGTTTTGGCATCTTGAGTGGTATCCGGTTCGGTGGTCTGACGCTCGGCGGTAATATGCTCGGCGGTTCCATGCTCGGCGTCCTCGTGCTCGATAGTGTTTTGTTCGGGGTTCTCCATACTGATAGGGTAAATTCTGGTTGAGGAGAACTGACCAGCATGAACTAGGCGACAAGGCGAGCCTCTTATGTCGTGAGTACGGCGCACAGCTTGCTCAAACCTGCTTTTCAGCTTGGACATGATTGCGATAGTCTTACCAGTATAAACAATTGCAAAGGCCGCATGTTCAAACCTACTGTTCTAGCAGATATTCTCCCTCTTTTTCAACCTATTCAACGTCCATATCACTGTCTTCCTCCGCACCTTCGTCCACAATCTTATCACCCACCTTCTTACACTTCTTCACATTTCCTACTCCCACAATCCTCTCCAACGCATCCATAAACCGTGCAAAAACACCAGCATTATGTTCCGCATGCCGTGCATCATGCGGGCCAAATGCCGTCCTGTCCCTACCGCCCAAAACCCCATGCTCGAAAGCCGCATGCCACTTATCCGACGGAAGATGAACATGGCACTCCTTGTACAAGACTTCCTTTCTGTCGATCATAGTCTTGAAGCCGCAATCGACAAAGCGGAGGGTGCGGCCTTCTTGGAAGGAGTAGCATTGGATGGTGATGGGTGTTTGGCCGCCCGCACCTCTGAGATTGATGACTTTAAGGTTTGTTCTGGCTTTTATCGGGTTGATGGTTAGCGTCCTTGACTGCTCGTTGAGGGTGAGGGTTGCGTAGCTCGTACGGTGCTCGAAAGCGTGGAGGTAGAGCGCTGGGGATTCTTAGCATCTTGGTGTATGTCCATGCATGTATCTCAGTATACTCACAGTTGTTCGTACCCACTGACGAAGCGATGGCGGGTGCAGAAGCGATCGCTGCGTCGCCGTCGTCTTCCTCTTCACTTTCCTCGTCAGCTGGGTGTGCTTCATCCTGGTCGTCACCTCCATCGTACTCTGAAGCAGACTCCACCGTCATAACGAGCTGCTTCTGGCGTACATCCGCCCCTCCGCCTGATCTAGGTTCATATGGTGGAATCGGCTTCGCAAGATCCTCCGGTGAGACGTCCGCCGCATCGAGCGTCCTCATATATCGCGGGATGCGTTGCTCGACACTGTTTGAGGGGTGTATGTAAATAGTAGTCTGCTGGCCCTCGAGTGGGCTATAATGCACGGTAACCGTCTCCTCCAGCTTTGTAGGTACAGCAAAGATATGGTGGGGACCGCCGGTGGTGAAAACGGCCTGGTCTTCCAGCATGGGAAGAGTTTCTGGCGCCTGTTTCCATGTAGAGTCCCATACCGGGTACATGTTGTTGTTATTCTTGTCATGCCTGACTACGGAAGTTTGACCACTGTCGTTACTGGAATCAAGGGCGATGTACAGTCCTGGAACCTTTTGTACAAAGTAGTTCTCGAAGTTGACTTCTTTGCCTTGGTTGCTTGTTTTATTAGTCTTCTCCATGTTCAGATGGTGGAAGTGGGAAGTAGTCGTATCGTGAACGTCCAAAAGGCTGCGCGGAGAAGGTTTCTATACCTCGTGAGTACAATGAGAAGCTTGCTCGAATCCCTCGTGGTGTTTGAGCATGATCACACCTCATGATCCTGAATCATCAGCAGCAATTGACGAGCCTTTAACGAGACGCGAAAGAATTCTTCTCGCTGCAAATATCGATCATTGTCGTATTAAGTACGATCGTTGAGTAGTTACATACTGGTCCGTCCCTTCATTTCAATAGCTTGTAGCCATCATTGCTGTCTTGGCGTTTCGCGAGCAGCGTTGGGCCTCGAAAGCACCGGAAGCGTAGACTGAGGTTGAAGATGTGTGGAAATGTCCCAACCATCTCGTGTAAGGTACGACGAGATCGCGCGTCATGCGCTAGTCATCGCAGTACGCGGCCGGTGTTGCGTCCAAAGATCGATCTTCGAGATCCTCATACGCCGGCTCGATCGTGGCGCCGCAGGGTCTCCACGCAGAATTCCTTCCATTACTCTGCGTCGTATCGCGGCATGTTTCTGCCAACCCACCCATGACCCCTCCACCCATGGCGTATGTGCCGACAACCTGCACAATATATACAATAGCGTGCCATCTCAAAAACGCCTTTGGGGTATCAAACGCCGTACAATGCCGTAAAATCGTGCAGGAAAGATATATCATGTCGTCGTTTCGTCCATCTGTCCATCTCAGCAACCCCGCTCAAGGATTCGAATGAACGAAACGTGCGCCTTGGCATGGCGAGCGAGCCTGCTTGAAAGCTTTTATCCTGCCTAGCATCCACCCAGACACCCATGAGCGCTCGCCTTCGCGGCTCTGGTGGTGGCCTAATCGGATGGAGTATCCGAGCCGGCACTCGATGCCATCGTGTTCGAACTGGAGACAGCGGCCGTCTTTCGCGCAAGCCCGTTGGCATTTGTCGAAGGACTTCGAGGCTGTCTTGCCCTTTCGGTATGTGACGTCTTCGGACATGTTGGACCAGTCTTCGGCCCTCTCCTGCAAGTGTGGCTCGATCATCGTGAAGAGCTCTTCGAACATGAGGGGTCGTTCGGGATGCGATCGCGCTTGTTCCCATTGGGAGAGTCGTGTGAAGTCGTCTTCGCCGAGGTGGTGCATTGTCATGATGGCCTCGCACCACTGCTCGTTGTCGAAGCGCATGCTGAAGGGCTTCTCGCCGTTGAACATGGGCCAGTATCCGCGGAGGGAGACTCCGCTCTTCTTCAGCACCTGCGCTAGCATCTCGTCTCCGCAGCATTGCTTCTTGACGTCGACGCCAAAGAAGTGTGTCCCGGGGAAGTGCTTGTTCTCGCCAAACATCCTGCCCAGCGCCATGATCTTGTCCAGCGCCGCGCGCGATAGCACAAAGCCAGTCCCACCATGTGCGAAGGTGGTCTTCTTCTTGGGCCAAACGGGGGATCCGAAATAGTGGGCCGTCTTGGGGTTGAAGTTGGAGAGGAAGCGGTAGAGGTTGTCGTAATTGACGTAGGTGTCGAGTTCCAGGAAGACATACCACTCCGACTCGGGCCGCATGTATGACGTCCACTCCATCATGGGCAGGAACTTGTACTTGTCCAGCCGCCACCCCTCCTCCGTCTTGTCCTGGGTGCTGTTCGTGGCCTGTATGCGGTCGTATACGTCAAAGTCGGGGTTGTTGAACTTGTACTCCGGGCGCAGGTGGGCGAGGGCGTCGGCAATCTCGAAGCCGTTGAGCGAGTCCTTGCGGTCCGAGAAGATGAGCAGATCCTGTTTGCACCTTCCCAATCGGTTGAGATACAGCGGCAGCTGAGTCGCGACTTCCCCAGCGCCAATCTTCAGCACAATGGTGACGCGCTCCATGACGCCGGCGGTGAAGGGCGAGCACTCCTCACCAAAGTGCACCGGAGCGACGGGCGCGGGCCCAGCGGGAGGGGGCCGCTCCTGCAGTATGTCGTAGCCGCGCTCGCCCCGCCATAGCCGGAAGACGAGCGACGTGAAGAGGAAAGTCACGAGGGTTATGGCGACGCACACGAGGCGCAACGGCGTCAATCGCACCCTCATGGTGGTGGTGGTGCGAGACTGAGTCCGTCATGTTTGCATGAGCGGGCCTGGCGCGCGCAAATTGGCGCTAGTCCCAGCTCCAATCCGGCTAGCCGGCCGTTCTATGCGCGCCTCCGCGGGCGGCCTCGAACGTCTCTCCAACATCACCATCACGAGTATCATGGTAACACCACCTCTGCTTTCAGCCAATAATATATATTCCACCATAGCCATCAATATCTCACTACGCCTTCTAAATAGCCATCTTTACCTGCCAATCTTCACCCCCGCCAGACACCCGGAACTCAACCGAGCTAATCATTTCTCCATCAATTCCACCCCGGAGACCCAGACGCGTCAAGATCCCTCCAAAGTAGTCCACCCGGTTCCGATTGCAACACTTTATGCGGCGTGCAGCCTCTGGCTTCATGACTAACGTCAACACCCACTCAATCGCGTGCCTTCGCACACCAGACGGAGCATGACACGACACTGGCTGTGCGCATAGGGTAAGAGCATCCATATCTTTAAGCCACAAACAAAATCCCAATAGTGACGGAACATAATCAATCGCCTCAAAAAGACTGATCGGCCTGTTCTCAATGAAGACCTCGGCCTTGGGGTGACCACGCAGCCACTCGCCCAGCCATTTGAGGTCGATACTGGTGTTTGGTCCCCAGCCCTGATCGCGACTGAGTCCGACTAGTAGCTTACAGGCGGGAAGTGGAGCAAAGGCCGACGTCTCACTATAGAATGTCCGGAGGAAGCGTTCTACCAGCACAAAGTGGATACGAGTCCTGACCGAGCCAAAGTACAAAGGCATGTACTCCGACCGAGTGGTTCGGCATACATTGCCCAAACCGACCGCTGTCGACAGTCCGACGCCTGAGAGGCAGTAACCATAGATCCGGTTACGTAGTTCTGGAACAATGATTAGCAAAGTGCCGGCAAGCTTATCGTCATCACCTACCACCGGGAAGATCTAGGAAGCTTTTGGGTTTCGAGATGCCTGAGGCCTTCGTGCGTGAGGAGTGCGCGTTCATTGATTCAAGAGACACCTCTATGCCGTCAGGTACGATGCTGTTGTTATTCAAGGATTTGCAAGCGTGCGTGGTCGATTTGGAATGAAGAGTTAAGAGATATGCGGTTGAAGGTACGGAAGCACGTTTCCAGGTTCTCGCCCTCGGAGGGTGTCATTATATCAGCGATGTGCACAACATACTGCTTTCAACAATGCCTTTCACTCGGCCTTTCGTCAATGGAGTGTCGAGTGAATGGTAAGTGTCGACTTCACACTTCCAGTACCGCTTCACAGCCTGGATTGCACTGTACAAGAACTTCTTCGAGAGTCTGTGTACTTGCAACCCTCTTATACTTTCACTGATCCAATGGGATTACAGGCCAAATTGGCCACGGGTACGGCGAGTCTGTGCCTACCTCGTCGTCACTCCCAAGTTCGCAAGGGGCGCAGTCCTCTGCGCACCGCCACGCTGCCTACAAATCGCGGCGCCAACTCTACCTATACCTACACATACAACTTCTCAACTCGTCACGTACAACCGCTAGACGTACCGAAAGCCTCGAACACAATGGCATCCTCATTCACAGAGTAAGTATATCACATTGCAACTTTCTTGACATCTTGCTAACACATTCCAGGATGTTATCTTCCGCGCAGTTCACGTTCCTGCTAGGAGACACCCGCGAGCCTGTCACCGTCCACGCCGGCATCATGTCAGAGGTATCTGAGCCCCTAGACCGCCTTATCAACGGCCCAATGAAGGAAGCGCGGGAGAAGTGCGCGGCTCTGCCCCATGTCGAACGCGACGTCTTCCTGGGCCTCGTCGAATACGCATATCGCAGTGACTACAACGTCCTTTCCTGCGAAATTGACCCCAATATCGAAGTCGAAGTCGACATGGAGGCTAGATCGTGCGAGACCTTGGACGACTGGGTTCCTACAATAAGCGAAGAAGATTATGCCAAAGCAACCACTCCTGAAAAGATGTGGCATATGCCCCATTTTTACCCAACACCCTACGACCGCTTTGCCGTCAAGGACGAATGTCCATGCTATTACGGAGAAGATTGGGACAAAGTCGCCTCGCACATGAAAGAGCAACATGTGGGCCAAGTAAACTACGAGCACAAGGCCTTTTTCCTCTTCCACGCCAAGATGTATTGCCTCGCTGACTACTACCTCATCCCCGCACTGAAAGACCTCGCCATATCCAAGCTCCACGTCGCACTACAACTATGCATGGAACAAAAGTTCGTAACAACCCCGCAGCGGGTCGAAGATATCGTCGCCCTGGCTTCTTTTGTCTACAACAGCGATAACATTCAAGACCACGATACCTCTTCGCAGCGTGATGCCCTACGAGAGGAGGTACTGGGTTACATCATGGCTCAGATCCAACACCTGGAGCTGCAACCGGCGTTCCAGAAGGCGCTGGGTGGCGGGGGCCGGCTAGCGATTGATGTGATTTCTTGTTTGAGGAAGGGGCTGAGCGAAGGGGCGGAGAGGATTAAGGCTGCTATTGCATATCGGAATGTGATCGAGGAACAACGTCTAGGACGAGGAGGCTACTACACCCTACAAGCGAATGGTCGGTAAACAGTAAGGTTATAGAGTCGTTCAAATGACTGTTTCTTCTTCATCAGTCCTGTAGCTGTTTAGCTATCTCCAAGGTTTGCACAGAGCCACATGTTAGTCATACAGTATCCTTCCTACGGCTTCGTCTGCCGTCTCATCACGCAGGAGTCGGCTCAAATCGCTCCCTTGGCGTCCACAACCTCCCCCTTCCCCTCCCCCTCCCCCTTTCCCCCCTCCCTCCCCTTCGGCCACCTAATCATATTCCACTCCCCACACCCCACAAACCCCGCATGCAAATACACCGCCCTCGCACTCGGTCTACTCTCCAAATACACAACCTCCCCCTCTGCATCCGCCTGCCCCAACGCCCACTCCATCAACCTCTTCCCCACACCCCTCCCCTGCCACTCCGGCCACGTAAGCAACGGCGCAAGATACCAATGCCTTTCCCCGCCCGTCGCCTCCCTCCTTACCTCATCGTCTTTGCCGAAGCGCTCGCTCCAATTCTCGTTGCTGACGTGCGACCACATGAGATCGAGATCGGCGTCGGTCCAGGATTGCTGTTCTGCCCAGGAGTAATGCGTCGCGGCGCTGCGTCGGAAGAGATTGTGAATGGAGGGGTTGGTGGGGAGTGTCCAGCCTGCTATTCCTACGGTTTCGCCGGTGGGGGTATAGACGGCTTTCATGAAGGTGTGGTGGGGATCGGTTATGGCGGGGGTTAGTCGTTGGGCCATGCGTTGGGTCCGGATCTGGAGGCTGTTCTCGCCCTTTGGGCGCAGCTCGGGTGGCTCTTTCTTTGCCCACCAGTCTTCTGGGAAGCAGAGGTAGAGACCTTCGGCCTAGGTGGTGGTGTTAGCATGATGGGGTTTATGGGTGGGAAGATTGAGCCAGGGAGGAACTCACGATCTTCTCAGCATCATCAGGCGTGCATTTCTCAATACGCAACTCCGATTCCGACAGCCGTCTTGAGGGCTCTGTTGGCATTGTCTGGAAGCCATCCGAGTTATCGGTGGGCACTTTAATGAACTCTGCTTTTTGCGATGACATGCTTGCGAGTGTTGTCGAAGTTGAACTTATCTGCGTCGAGGCGTGTGCAGAAAGAGGGGATGTGACGACTTTGGTATTCCAGGGTTGAGCTACCTAGGCAGGCGCCCTGCAACACACTTATGTAGACACGAGAACAGTAGACCTTCGTGATAGTAGTAGCATTATGCCCTTTTCTAGCGCTTACTCGCGCGAAATTGTCCGACGGAATGCTCAAATGTTCGCTGTCAATCGACTCATCCTTGCTCATGCGTGCTGGAGTAGACACCGACCGAGAGCACTTGAGAAGACCGCGAAGGCGGTGTCACGCGTTACCCGAAGTGGGCTAGATGCGGACGTCATTGTTCCGATCGGAAACGGAATGGGACGCTGCACCTCGAGGTTGCGCCCGTGGACACATCACAACTTCCGTCTCGCTAGTATTAAGATACTTACTCCAGCAGCTATAATGCTATAGAGTATTATTTCGATATCCCCCAACTCATCACCGACGGATCGCGATATTGTACCCAGCGACGCGACGCGACGTATGCTGTGCGGAGACGCCTATCTGTCAAGTTGCCCGACCTCGGGAGGCTTCATCTTCGAACATTCATCTTACGGTATCGCGACATCGACTGACGCATACGATGTACAGGAATTGCTCGCTTCCAAACCATACAAGTCAAGTGCGACAATGGAAAGAGTGTCATTGTCTACGTAATGTATCGTAGCCAGCGTCGCCAGCCTTGCTGGGGTGGGACCCTTCCATCAACTCAAAGGGTTACGCACTGGATCTATCGCAACCCGTCATAAAACGAATACCTTCTTCCACTGGGTTTTCATGTCCTGTAGAGTACACACAACCTCGGTGTATAATGCACTCTGGAGTGCTTCGCCATGGAGGTCATCGTTACACGAGAAGTCGCAATACAGACATTTGCGCACAACCTCCAGGAAGCGAGGCCCTAGCGTCATGATCGAACGATGTTGTTCATCAAGCAGCTTTCTCGCGGCGATGATCTCACGAATTTGAGGCGACCCCTCCAGCTGCGGCGTCGTGCTATCCGTCTGAGCACATATCTCTAGTAGCGCGACGCCGAGTTTAGCTAGCGTCAGGTTGCGGATGCCGAAGTTATGCTTCAGATCAAGAGAGGACTGATGTGACACACTGTCCGGCGAGGTCGGATCTGGGAAGCGGTTGCTCAGATGCAAGCTGTCCAGTGCCTTGGATACATTGTTCGCGTCGGCTTGAGATTGATCCGTGAAGTATGCTACATCTTGGAGAGTCCATGCTTGCGGCAACCAAGAGGTTGAATGATATTGGAGAACAGCTTCAGCCAATTTTTGCGCGAGTGTGATCTTTTGCAGGATCTGGAAGCGTTGCACGAGGTTCTTGATCGGTAGTGCTCCTTGTCGCCGGTTACAAGAAGGCACATCGTTGGTCGCGAGCTTGCTGGCATCGTAGAACATGAAGCGGGTTGTTGGCTGACTCTTCGCGACTTCAAGAAACCCCACGCAGCTATCTTGACATGCCGATGTAGATGAGCGCACTCTCGTTACATGACAGCATACGCTTTTTGTTGTCTTCAGATCTAGCATGACGAAAGATTGTGCTTGTGTTGCTAACGTGTGGCTTGTCGGTGTTGTTCGAACACATTTAATGTCATCTTTGGGATCACTGATTCGGACTCTTTTCTTCGACTTGGCTTTGATGGGCGGCGTCGGGGTCGTAGCTCCCGACGCGTCGTTGATCCCACAACGAAACGCGTTCGCTAGTGCCTGTGGAGGTAACGTTGGAGCCGTACACACCGCGAGGGATGTAATGGACCGAATTTGCAGCCATATTGGGACGTTGCTAGATGGACTACACATCGTCGTTAGTCAACAGCGCTTCTACTTCCTTTCGGGTCGCGAAGAATATCCGCTCTGACATACTTTTGGAATGCCGCATTCGGCTTTGGCTGGCAAGCGATGACAACGTCGAGTTGCACGTTATCGTACTCGCTTTTGGCGTCGAGCGACAACTTCGCCTGGTGTCCACTGTGAGAGGTGTTGGTGCAAGACCAGGAGTCATGGATCGACTCTCCCAATTGTTGTGAGGCGACGCGGATCTGCTGGTAGCTCCTTGGCACGGCTTTGCGGATGATGCAAGCCGAAGGAACATTGCGACGCTTCTGCATCTTGCGCCTCTGCTTACACAACTTGCCCAGCGACTTATTCCATCTGTCCAACGAATCAAGCTGTCGGAGGTACTCGTTCTCCTTGCGAGCTGTATTGAACGCGTTCCAAAGCTTCCGTGCGAACTCGTGTTGGGACTGTTTTGCGTTACCCAGGCTATTCTCGAGCTTGGACAGGCTGTTCCGTGTCTCACGGAGAATATCGCGTTGTCGCGTCGCGATGCTCTCGCATAGCTCGTAATCGTGCTGCATCAAATCTCGCAGCCGCTGTTCGATCTCCTTTCTTTGTTCCTGCCAGCTCCTGTGGGTCGGATCCTCCATCATCTCAGAGACATCGCTCGGATGGGCGATGGCAGCCTGCAGCAGATGGCGGCATTCGTTGCTAAAGTTCGCTGCTGCTACTTCGAATCTCAGCTGGATGTCGTATGCAACTTCCGCGTGTCGTGAGAAGGTCGCCAATGTGCGCTTGGCTGTGCCGTATGACTTCAGAATCTCGACAACAATGGGCACAACACCGAAAACTAGACCTGCGATTTCGATACCGGACATGGTGTGAAAGATGAGTCTCAAAAGACATGGGGGTTGATGAGTCTCGGGATGCGCACTCTTCCAAGGTTGATTGAACGAGGCGCAGTTTGGCCCCCAATGCGATAGGCGCATACCCCTCCAATGCGCAGCCCGTTCACGTGTGGCTTCTCAGCCGTGTCGGCATCCTGGCAAAAGCAACATGATCTCTCTCAGCTGGTGCGCATTTCCTATTCCATTGTCTTCCCGCCTTTGAGCATCTACTGACCGTGCCCGCTGGTAGTCGGCGCGCATGCTTCCACCAAAGAACCGTCGTAATGCATCGGCTGCCGACGAAGGCGGCTTAGAGAGGGAGCCCCGGCAGGCTGAAATGGAACGCACGCAAGACACCTCGTCGTCTCCAGCGAGTGAGCTAACCAATTCGCCTCCAACACAATTGCCGGCAAGGGCTCCGGGCGCCCATACCTTCTCCAGTTCTGGTTCAGAAAACCACCTACCGGTCGCTTTCGGTCGCGCAGGCAAGATCGCTACTCCGGGGGCTTTGCCTAGAGTCACTTGCACCTTTTGGAAAGATGAAGGCTGCCACTGTTATCAAGTCGAGACTAGGGGTGTCTCCGTAGCTCGTCGCGACGACAATCGTATGATCAACGGCACAAAGCTGCTCACATTGGCTGGTATGACAGCAGCACGCAAAGGCGCTTTGCTGAAGAGTGAGAAGACTAAACACGTGGTTAAACTCGGGCCAACACATTTCAAAGGCGTCTGGATTCCGTTCGAGCGTGCCTTGGAATTGGCGACCGCGGAAAAGGTCGTCGACTTGCTATATCCCTTGTTCGTGGATGACATCGGGTCACTCGTATATCAGACTTTGGATCAGAAGCTCACGCCTTATATCGACTCTCAACCCCAATTCGAAAACGTGAAGGAAACGACTGGGAGTAGCAAAGCTAGATCAGCTCACTCTTCTGTGAAGAAAGAGGAGGACGAGGATTCACAATTGCTCGCCCTGGACACTGTGCAACATGTCGAACTCCAGGAGCTAGGAATTCTTGGGTCACTATTCAAATCTCTCACAGAGACGCTGGGACTCATCATGAAGGAGTTCAGAAGCCAATCTAGTGATGCCGCGCATTACATTTCTCTAGAGTCAACCTGCGCGACTTTGTTATTCTGGGGCACCGACCTTGGACTGCCGCGAGGCGAGCTCGACGATGTGCTTCAAGGCTCTCCCCAGTTGCGCAACACTTGCCTGGCCGTTCTTGTATCCATCTCTCGATTTGTGAGCACTTGTAAGTAGACTTCACCCACACCACTATGTCGCCTCAACACTTACACGAGTCAGCTTTGATAAACCTTGTCATCAGTGAACATCACCGAAAAGAGATTTTACAGTCTACCGATTTTGCGACTGCCCTGGAACAAGTCACGGACATGATTGGTCGACAACATGATTACGCTTATCAGCCCGAGCAAGACGCGGAGACAATGTGTCAGACCCTCCGTACGAAGATTGATACACTGGTCATGTTGGCACCCAGCCTGGAATCGCCGGCGGAAGAAATTTTCGACGAGGAGAAGCCTCGTACTATCCAAGACATTGGAGAAACCCTACCGGAACAAGCCTACGCTAGCAGTGTTGCAGAAAAGTTCCCTTTTGCTCCACCAGAAATGGTGGCACAACTTGGGAGGTTGAACTGGGATCGATATAATCACATCCTTCGTCTGCAACGGGAAGCAATGAAGCAGGAGCTTCAAGAGACGACTCTCGAAAAAGCAAGAACCATCTTCCACGACTCTGGTCTGGGTACCTCGGTACCAGCCCAAACAATTGCGGGAGTAAAAGCAGAACCTGTTTACGAACCTTCGATCATGTCAAGCAGGGCTGAGGCAAGTCACAAGCGTGTGCCACCACTGCCAGCCCAAGCGCGGGCTGGCGAGCCTTTCACATGCGAGATCTGTGAAAAGCAGGTACAGTTCCAACGAACCAAAGCATGGAAGTGAGTTGACCTTCATTGCAACACTCCAATTACATCAAAGCTAACATGTCGTTATAGGAAGCATGTGTTTGATGATATCCTCGCATACGCTTGTTTCTTCCCCGAATGCCACGGAACAGGCGTCTTTTGGGAGAACGGCGATGGGCTGATGAACCATCTACAAGATCAGCACGGCATGGACGCTCGAGTCTCAGAAGTGACATGCCCCTTATGTGTTGAGTTCACTTCACGGGACCGTGATCTGTTATCACTCCATATTGCACGTCATATGGAAGAGATCGCCCTTGCAATACTACCTTCCGGTGTTGATTCCGACGATGAGTTGACAGACCGCTCAAGTGACCGCAGCAATGCTCGGTCTGACGAAGACGACCTGTCTTCTCTGAAAGCACAAGGCAAGGACAATGGATCGTCTTCGGATCCATCAGATATCAAAATCCCCACTGAAGAACCTAAATCTGGAGGGATGATAAACATTAAGCATGCGTGGAAAAGGCTTGGGCGAAGTTACGGAAATCTGACTAGTACACAGTGGGCGACATTCGAATACTCTCACGATGGCGTTGCGACAGAATATACCATTCGGCGTGACATCGAGACGGTAGACGTTGAGTGTTTACCTCATGGATTCAAGATTGATAACTGCATCTTCCCACGTGCACTGGTTCCTCAGGACCAGTACAAGGGCAATCGTTGGGGTTATGAGAACAGTTGCAACGTTATTGGCTGGGCGCTAGCCGAACTGAATCCATCCATTCAAGGTCAACGTGGTGTACTGCAAAAAGCAGTGGAGAGTGTATTTGCCCCGTTCAATTCGAGCGAAACGCATACTGCTGGTACTCAAGAGCAAGGAACAGCACCTATATCGTCCGTCGAGAGCTCAAAGGAGGAACTACCTGGTGACGCGTGCAAAAGCACGACGGATCGCCGCATGACACACGAAGGCGAATTCGTATCTAGCCCATCTCCTTGACGAAGCTTCGTCAAACATTCTTTCCTCCTTTTGGCAAAAAGGTTGATTTTTGCTTCTTATTTTCTCATCTGCGTCGGCCTCGAGAAGGCGAATTTATTCATGTTGTTGCATGGCATCGATACTATCCTATGACGAGAGATTCTAGTACGATAGCAGCTTTATCCATGGATCTGTTTCGTGGTTGACAGTCTGTTGTTCCAGTCTGCGCACGAGTCAAAGGGAATTGCAAGCTCGTGCATACTGCGAATCGTTGGAGTTGATATGCGCTCGGAATGATACAACAATTACTGTGTCATATTTTGTTGTTGTCTTTCGTGTTCTTCGTCGTCGGAATCTCGAACTAAGAAATCAAGAATGGTATAATAGCAGATAAATGACGCCCTTTCCAGACCGCCAGCTGAGATTCCTATGCGTACTGCCTACCCCTCCTCAGCGACGCAACCTCCCCACCAGCTCGCCCGATCGCCAACCTTCCAGTTTCATCGCCTTCCTCCACATCCCCGAATCGTATGCGCAAGTCTTTGAGATAGCGCGATCTGTCTGCAGCGTCGAGATACGTACCCGTCGCCGGGAGACGTAGATAGGGATTATCTCGTGTTGCCAGACTGGAAAAGTTCATGAGTATCTCCGGCCCGCGTAGAAGGTACGTCCGGATGAAAAAGGGAATCACGCTGGCCGTGATCAGGACGACCGAAGAAACGATGAGAGCGAGGACCCAGCCTACATGGGCCTGGAAGACCTCCACGTTGCTGCTCTTCGTAGCTTTGCTTGTCCATACTCTTGCGAGGGAGAGCACATCCAACACTTCCGGTTTTACTTCGATTTGCCACTTGGCTTGGTGATCCCAAGTTATGTTACGATCTACTACGGTGGTCTGAACGTTGAAGCTACCGATGATGACATTCTTTATATTCATCACGGCCCAATAAGAATTAAGCATTTGGCTTAGACGTATCGCGACCGTATCTGCATGCGGTACAGGGGTTTCATCGGTAATCGTACCGCTAAGGTCCTTCGGTACCTTCAGATACTGTTCGGAGAGAGGGCTCGAGTTGGACTTGATGAGGGTTTCCCAATCGATTCTCATATACTCTGCGGGTGGTACTGGAAGACGAGAGCGCCGAACACGGTCTGCGAAGCAGGTAGAATACGTAGGACACGCGATCTCTACTTCGACGTAGGTCGAGCTGATGGTACAGTTGAAATAACTTAGATCTGGGCCGACTGGTTTGTCGGCTGGTGTGACCAGAACAAAGGTTACCGGTGCGAGATCTTCCTCCGGAGACCAGTGAGCACCTTCCTTCATATTTTCGTTCCACCTTAAATCCCCTAACCAGGAAGATGCATTAAATAGGAACTGTTGACCCGAAGATACCTCGGAACAATCCAGATTGAAGTACACAGCCTCAATCCTGGTAGCGTAGTCGATGAAACCCGGCGAGTCTATGCCACTTATCGGTATGCCAATGAAAGAAGAGAAATTTTCCACGGTGCTGTTTTGTATCTTGTACCAGCCTTCATGGTCGTTCATAACTGTTTTCTCGTAGCTCTCAATCCGTGGAACTTTCACATGGCCCCAAGCATCACGTGGAGAGCCGTCCTTGGTCGTTGGACTGATTAGGCCAGCCATGTAGATGTTGGTCAATGACGTCTCTAGATTTCCGTTCAGTGGCGTATCAAAATCTCGACCCGATGTCGTGTTCGTAGCTTCCTTCGTACCAGCAGTCCAAGGATGAGGGCCGGGAACCACGTAAGAAACCACTGCATCTTCCAATATCCCACTTGACCCAAAACTTATCTGCCGGAACGATGATTGACCACCCACGGGAGACAGCATCCAGATAGTGACCAGACCAAGGCCTACAATGTTGACGACACGTAGATGGAATTGTGACACGACAGTACTGGTAAGCGATGTACTGCCAGCGAGTATGTCTAAGGCAGCGATACTTTCGCCTCTTTCGAGCCTCCAGAGCAAGATCGCATGGGTGGCTCTTCCAACAACGGAGGCAAAAAGTATAGGATAAACGGTCGGACCCTATTTTCGGTGAGTTCAGGCATGTCACAACATGACTACGGATGCGCTTACCCATTTGGAAGCTTGTATAAATCTCTCCGCTGCTTGCTCATGTGACTTTGTCGGCTTCTGATCATACAACGAGACAGATAGAGCGAAAGCCAAGAATGCGATTGAGAGAGTCAGCAATGAAATGTCGACTAGGATGTTCCAAATGGTAGTGGTGGTAGAGATCTTGACACGCCGCGATGACGCTGGCCAGCCTTGAGGTGGTTCCAATTGTTTGTCGACGGAAGAAGAGCCCACAAGCTCATAGTCTGAGGAGACACTGTGACCTGCATCATGTGATCTGCGCAGGCTCTCCTCAGAGCTGGACACAGCTAGTTCGTCGTGGTGAAGGGGCTGCAGTAGAGGTGTATCGGTGCTTAACCGCGACTCGGACGTAAGGTGATCCTCGTAGCGTATGGGCCCAAGTTCGATTTCGTTTGCAGTGGACGCGGAACCTTCTGTATGTGCGATGGCCATCTCGCGGGGATAGAGGAGGGGATATAAAGGCTTCAAGTAGTTGTGGTAGAAGAAAAGAATGCGCGATTGACAAGGCTACGTACACATACGCTCATACACCTAGGGACCGGATGGGACGATGTGAGTTCTGCGCAACAATGTCACCACTGCACTTCGCCTTCCTCACCGTACCAGTCAATCTCAACGAATGAGAACTACACGCCCCCACACATATGTGGCTTGAGCATGGCTTACAAGCCTGAGGCCAGCTGAAAAGCCTCGAGGCTATGCACCTTCGCAAAGCGTTTCTGAGTCAAGGCGGTATTGTTAATATTTTGTAAGGCGGCGCAAATTCGCTCTCGCGATACCGCAGAGTCTAAACTGGCGAGGCGATGCTGAATACGTGCATGGTGTACATAGTGATGACTTCGACGACTTCGCTCTTCGGGCGGGGCGGGCTCAGAAACTTGAGCCTGCGCGTCGTCCGTGCGCCAGCGGCTCATACCGATGAGACAGAAAATTGCCAAGGCTGACACCATTCTTATTGGACTCGAATGTGACTTGACTGATGGAGATCTGGTGCGAATGCGGCATCCCGCGAATGTTTGAGATAAAGGGAAGGCAAGGCAGAGTATGGGATGCATCCATCTATCCACCCGTGCCTGTTCGGAGGTCTAGCGGCCCGACCACGTGACGCTTGGCATACGCAAATGCCGACCCTCCGACAATCTAGCTCCTTCAATCTTCGCTCCTGCACCAGCACCGCTACGCAAGACGAATCAACTCGTCTTTCCTCAACTCACGACGATCACAACATTATACCGGGTACAGACTGCGCTCTCATATCATGTCGCAAAAAGATGGTGACCAGTATTGCGCACGACGCGAACCATTTTGCCTGGCAAAAGATGGCAGGCTGGTGACAGGCGCGCGATAGGCTCCGCCTGGCCCAATAACACCACAAATGCTGTACACGATATGCAGCCCCCGCATCTCTCGACAGGCATGCATGCGTATTCAGCTGTCTTCAGCTCAGATTATTCAGCGCCTCCAACAGATGAAATCCAATATCCTAGGGTTTGACGATGCCTTCATTCTGGCCATCTTCAGTATCGATATAAAATCACTCACAGAGCCTCGCACACTCGCAGCAAAATCTTGACTTCGGAAATGCGCTATGGCGATCGCATGGGGGCCTCGGCTGGTGGCGCTTCTCCTGTTGTATGGTCCGTCATGGCGTTGATGGACTGACCGCTGACCCACGTGATTAGGCTTTCCTTCCAGGTCATCTGCATTGCGAGCGACGTATTCTTTTTCAGGAAGAGGGTGATTCTTTTGCCAACAGATGATGACAATCAACTATCGAGGCAGAAATCCTCATCTGACGGCATATCTCTGGTCAGTAAAGCAAAGCAACTTCTCGACAAACCGGACGTAAGCCGAGCCGTGGTTCCGCTACTATCAACCTTCTTCGGTGTAATAGTTACATCTGCTATATTTGCGGGTACAAGCGACACATACGGTGTCGCCCGCAATACATGTGATACCAACCTGGACGCCGATATCAGTGGTGTCGGTGTACGGGTCTCCATTTGGTTACAAATCGGCATGCTACTCGTCATCAGTGTTTCCGGTCACTTGCACAAACGAGAGACTGGAATAAAAGAAGTCGGAGGTGGCTTGATCCTCACTCATGTCGCCCTCATAATAGCACTCATCGTGCAAATGTACAAAGGGACCTTGACATCCGTCGATGCTGCGATTGGCGCTGTTATCTTGGATGCTCAGAACGTCGCTTTACACATCCCTGGCACTGCCAAACAAACTCTAGCTGCTCGATGGCAAGTGCTTCTTCTTATCCCAGCTCAAATTATGGGGCTAGTTTTCCTGCCGGTACTGGGCATCAAGTTCATCAAGGGAGAATTCGCATCGGAAGATTGCAAATGTCTCAACATTTTCTGGTGGTCTAGATTAAGCGACTGCGACGCTTTCTCTGGTAACGAGCTTTCTCTCTTCTGGATCTACTACACGATTCGCTGGATCATATGGTTTCAGTCGTCCTTCCATTCTATGTACAACACCCAGCCGTTTCATGAGTCTGAGAGGGACGGACGTGTCCCAATCTTGAGGCGCGACGGGACAAAACCAGACAAGGATGAAGAGATCATAGCGCTTGAATGGGAGGTACCAGAACGACGAGTCAAGAAGGCTACTTTCCAGGCTGGCCTTGTGTACAAACAGTACTCTGCAACAATATCAGTATCGTATACGGTATGTGCGCTATACTCGCTCACGTCCATGGTAGTCGCCGAGATCACTATTCGAGAGTACGACCTCCAAGCTAGCTCCAACGTCTATTCGATCGGTCAGATCATCGCTATTGTCGTCTCGCTCGCTACTTTGATTCGAGCTATCTGGAGTTTCCAGAGCCTCTATATCGATTCCCAGGACAAGTCATTTCCCGATTTGGTCTTTGAGTTGCTTACCTGGCCCCCATGGAGTTGTTGCTTGGACTCAAACAAAGACAAAACCGGCGAAGATACGGCCGCGACCTCCCCGAACCAAAATGATTTAGAGCCTAGAAAGGGGTCAGATGATGATGATAGAAGTAATGGCTCAGGAGTGAATAAAACTCCGCAACATCGAGCACAGCCTTCACTCTCCAGATGTGAAGCGGCTGGTCAACCTGAACAATACTTTCAGCCCTACCCTGAACTATCTCACCATGGTAACAGCAGACCATCCTCGGATAGCACCAACTTGTCAAAGTCGCAGCCATATTCGCCCCTAGAACAAGACGGTCGAGCACAGCGCCCTCAACCAGATCAATTAGAGTCTCAGCCACGACGAAGCTACTCTCACAAGCCAGCATTCCGACTCAAATTCCGCCAGCCGTTCCATCTGGATGCTGTGAAGCAGCTGTTCTTCCCTGCATTCACCCAATATCTGGAAGAGCGAAAAGAGGAAAAGGCTGCAGCTCCGAGAAACGAGAATTCAGTCGAGGTCCCATTCGAGCCCCCGGCATTCGACCAGCACCCAGCCTACACGTGGCCTGGACATTCTCAGGGAAATGCCGCCAAGGAAAAAGCCCCAGTACCACTTTCAGTCGAAGAAAGACCGCATCTAGCAGAAACTTTGGGGTCCGCCGATAGCGAACTCCGCGTTCTGACTAGCGGCAAGCCCTCCGATTCGATTAGCGGCAATATGAACCCGGGGACAGACAGCAGCGACGTGACGGATCAGCCAGGAAAAGACCAAGCACTCGAAGGGTTACAGCCAAAACCTGCTACACGGCAAGACATGGGCTCATCATCGATCCTAGCTCGTCCCGGGCCAGAAGAGGACCAGCCAATCGGCACTCGGAAGTCAGAAGAACGACAACTTGCAGCTCTTCGCTTCCCAATACAGACACCAGAGGAGGAACTACTAGAATTCTCGAAGGCTGATGCGGCTACAAAATCTTTAGAACCAGTAATCAGTTACCAAGGACTTGATGAGCGCCAAGGTGTACAATATGGTGTGCCGCAAAATGATGGCTCTGCACACACAGAGGAGAAAAGTCCACTGCCACTCTCGATATTTGGTCCATGGCGAGACTCTACTGATCCGATTCCTTCGACTTCGAATTTCACCGATGTAGACCTTGAGTCGAAGATAGAGAACCCTGGTATCGCAGACCAGTCAGAAGGTGGCAAAGGACCGCAGGAACCGGAGGCTCGGTCTGAGACAGGTCGCGCATCAATCAGAAGTGTTGATCCGATCGACACGGAATCAGACACGGAAGACCAAAAGACGGAAGACCATTCCACAACCGCTCTAGATTCTGGGGGGTCGGAGCTTGATTCAGCGCATCTCTCACCCATTGTAACAGAGGAAGACCTACCGGAACGGTCGAAACGACATCAATTGGCACGTCAACGGGATCGTATCCCAAGTGATCTACGAGTAAACTCCCCCAGAGAAGTTTCAACCGACGACCTCAAGCGCGATCCTCACACTGCTCACAGTCTATTCACCGCGGAATTTCGGAAACGTCGTCTAAAAAAACAGGAAGAATCTGGTAAGCCTGGTCCCCGATCCGGATGTCCAGGCAACATGGGGAAGTGTGAACAGAGCGAGACCGTCTGGGAAAACTATTCCTCGTTTCTCCATCACTGCCACACGCATCAAGGACAAATAGGGCAGTTTGATACTGGAAAGTGCTACGAATGTGCGAAGTCTAGCACGTCTTCAAATCCCGGTCCGCGTTTTGTTCGTTCAACAGAACTCGCCAGGCACATCTGGGACGAGCATCTGCACAAGATCGACCGCGGTCCGTTATCGCCATCACTAGCGGAAGCAGAGCAAGGCAAAGGGAAATCGGCGGAGGCTTCGGAACTTGAACGCAGCGAGCGTATCGATAATGTAACTGTCGATCCGGTGACTACAATTTGCACATGGTGATCTCTATCGTAGCGTCTTCTAGCCCCATCCATCAAGCCCCGACAGCTTAGCTTTATACTAGAAACACCGCCGCGTCTTCCCCGATCCTACTTCTTGTCATTAGTACACTTGTCGTAGCAACGTACATAGAAGACGAACAGAGCATGAGAGCACATGAGAGAGTTGTATTGCATGCTTCAAATTAAAACTTTATTCGCAATGCAATGAAAAGAACCCTTCCAGCTTCCAAGTTCATCAACCCAGAAATGTCGATTCGGCGACATGCTTAAACCCAATCACCGCGCCTTCCACGCAGTTAATCTTACACAAACCCCCCAACTTCCCCTTCCCATTCCCCTTCCACGCTCACTTCCGTTCCTTATCCATCGCCAAAACCCTCTCATAAAACCCATCGAAGCACTTATCAAACCTCTCCGACGGCTTCCCCTTCACCCCCCTCGCAAAAATAGCATACTAACGCTTCCTCTTCTTCTTCCCCTCATCCTCACTCGCATCCGCTGCCGCCTCCTTATCCTTCCTCGCCGCCTTCTTGTCGAGTTCATCCCAAGATTCGCCTTCACTAAATTCGTCTTCTGAACCCTCGTCACTCATCTCCTCGGAAGCGTTCTCGTCGAAGTCCGATTCGTCGGAGGATTCGTCCGAGATGGCGAGTTCAGACTCACTGACTTCGAACGCAGACTCCTCTTCCTCCTCGCCATCACCCTCATCGTCAGTTTCGTTAGACAGGAAACTCCATCCGCCGTCGGCGAAGAACTGGTGGGGGTCCGACGTAACGGTCTTCATGATGGTGGCCCAGTTGAGGTTGAGGGGACCCTCTGTGAACGGGATATCGACGCTGTCGAGCCAGTCCTTGACGGGGTCGAGCGACTCAACGGGGATGGTGTTGATGTGGACGGGGGGCCGGTTGTAGTCCTTAAACACAACCACCATATCGAAGTTCCTCAAACCAAACTGCACGCGTTCCAAGTGTACGATTTCGATTTCAGAAAGGGTGAGGCAGGTGAAGGGGGGTTCGGTGAGTTGGACGAGGCAGTCTGTTGTGGGTTGAACGAGGACGGAGGAGCGGGATGGGACACCGTTGAAACCCAACTCGCGGTACGGGATATCGACGCTGACGTTCTCGTTGCGGGCAGCGTCGGCGATCTTCTCGGCAAAGTTCTTGAATTCCTTGTCGAGGGCTGCGCGGCGGCGCCGCTCTTCTTGTTCTTGCTCGAATTCTTCTTCGTCGCCGAACTTGTGGCGCCGCTTGCGGTTGCCTGTTTCGTCGAATTGCATCTCTGTGGCTTCGCGGACGAACTGGACGTCCTTGGTCTTCTTTTTGCCCAGCATTATTGGGTTCTTGAGGTGGACGTGGATGATGACGATGAGCTCGTGTTGTGAGGGTTGGAAGAAGAGGTGCTTCATGTTGCTGAAGAGGACGTCGATCTTGGCTGTGCCGTTGCCGTGGACGTAGCGCAGACCGTTTTGGTGGATCTCGACACTTCCGGGGATGCGCTTGCCGTCGAGCGCGGGGCGGATGAAGATGAGGTCGAGCATGTGCGGCTTGCGGGTCTTGAGGGGGATGAGCTTGTCTTGCTCAACGACGTCTTCCATCTGCTTCTTCTCCGTCTCCCGTCGCACAACATCCTTCTTCAGCTCTGTGATGTCCTTGGTGATCTGGTCGATGCGGTCAACGTCGTGCGACTTGAAAGTCAAACTACGAATGAAGTGTGCGTTGGGGTCTTCGAACGGCTGGTCGTCTTTTCGGCCAACACCCTGACCTGGTGAGAGGAAGTTGATGCGGAGAGATGTGAAGTCCGCTTCGGGGGTGTGCGATGCGTTCTTGATGGTGTGAATGTGGAAGGGTACGGGTCGGCCCATGATCGGCAGAAGAACGGTGAGGTTCTTCTTGTCGACGACGATCTCCAAGTTGGCGACCGAGCTGGGGAACTGGTTGTCGCGCTTGTAAGATTCGAATTTCTTAAACTTCTTCTCTTCTGTGCCATTCAGAGACTTTGCGCCCTCGCTGTACTCGGCAAGACCCTGCTCTTGCTTCTTTGCGTGCAGCTCTCTTTGATGCTGTCGCCGTTGCTCCTCCTTTTCGGCATCTTGGTTTGTTGTTCGCTCGTGGCGTGTGCGGGTCTTGGTGATGTTCGTCTGGGCGATAGCTGGGCGCTCCTTCTTGACCTTGGGCTTGGCCTCCTCCTCTTCGTCATCGAAGAAGAAAGAGACGGCGTCCAGATCTGAGGTGGTGTCCTTGGTGAAGACTGCGCAGTCGCCGGCGCTGACGCGAACGGTGTCTACCAAGACGAGCGAGTAGTTCTTGCTCTTCTTGTCCTGCGGCTTGCTGTTCTCGAGGTCCGCGAGACCAGTCTGAACTACCAAGGTCATGCCGTCCTTCAGGACACGAGTGTTCTTGCCGCTCAGGAGCAGCGAAGAGTCCTTGTTCTCGGTACCGATACCGTAACCGAGGTTCTTGGGGAAGTGCTTCTCCCACTCTGGCTTCTTCGACTTGAGATGTGCGAGTGCCTTGTTGTAGACGTCCTTGGCCACCACGCCGTCCTTGATCGACTTGATGACCAGGTCGTGAATCGCCAGAAGCAGCTTGTAGGCAGTCTCCTGCTCCTTGTTAGGGCCGACCATGAATGTGCGACCGATCATGGCGCCGTATGTCTGGTAGCGCAGACCGAGGACGGAGATGATGACGCCCGCATGCAGGTTGTTCTCGTCGGGCTCGGCCGCGAATTTGAGATCGTACGAGCCGCCACTCTGGATCGTAGGCTGCAAGCACCAGTCCAGCTGCATCGAGTCGAATGTCTTGGACAGCTTCTGCTTCTCAAAGAACTTGGCGTCGTCGATCTTGTTGGAGACCTTGTCGGCGAGGGCGCGGTGGGAGATCTTCTTCTCGGAATCGAGTATGTCGGACATTTCTTCGACGAAGTAGTTGGACATGAGGGCGCTCGAGGCGCGGGCGGCGTCGCGGATGGTTCGCTACAAGGTCAGTAATGCCAGTGCGGAGTTGTGCGACCAGACTCACCAGCTCCTTCTCGTCCTTGACGGACAAGGCGGCGTTGGACATGATGGAGGCCAGATCGACCTGGTCCTCCTCCTTGAAGCCAGCCTCGTCAAAGGCAGCCTTCCACTCGTTCGCAAAGGCGTTGTTGGCGTTGTCCTTCTTCAGCACCGCCACCTTCTTGCCCGCCTTTTTCATCGTCTCGAGACATGTCTGGAACTGCTTCTTGTTCTCCTCGGCGTCCTTGCCGCGGACGAGAATCTCCACCGGCACCTTGCCACCTTTGAGTGGCTCAAGGTAGGAAGCTATTCTCATTAGTGAATGTGCCCAAACTCAAGTCGTGGCCGCAGACTCACCCTTCTTCTTGGTGGTGACAATCTGGAGGAGGTCGGGGGTCAGGATGAAGAGCGTCGCGGGAAACTCGTAGCCTAGCAGCCATAGCTGGGGTCTCATCAGCTCACTGTCCGTTCATCACATGTCGAAATGCGCAATCTTACCTGGAACGCTGCGGGCTTCAAATAGATGCCTGGCTCACTCGCCTTGCCCACAAGGGTCGCGATAGAGCTTGCGCCCTGGAAAACAGCGTCGCCGGAGCGCTTGTCGGCCTTCCACTTGGTGACGAGGGCGTTGAGGCGCTCGTGGAATAGCGCCTTGTCGATGACAATGTCGTTCTCCGCCATGGTTGAGGATGCGCTGAAGATATCCTCCAGGCGGTTTGGCGTAGCTGCGAGGGAGAAGGTGGGAGAGAGAAGGCAGCGATGAGAAAGTCGCGAAAGGATGATGCGACGCGAGGTACGCGCTGGGGGCCCGTGCGCCTCTCAACTCCACAATCATACTAGCGCCAACCTCACCTAGCAAAGCTCTCGACAGCTGGCATTGATAAACCCCACATCTTCCTAGGCAACAAACTTCAACGTCACGTTTTCTTCTTGTACATACTTTGGTCATCTTTTGTTGTTATAGACTCCCACGTTCTGATCACGCCCAAGTCACTCCCACCTTGTGACCCTCCCACGCGGCTGCCTCATCCGTCTCAAAACCCTCACCACCCCACCCATGCGTCTGCAAACCTCCCCAACCACCAACACTATGCGATGACGACCGGCTCCAGTCCTCGCGCTGGAGTCTCCCTCCGAAGCGATGCCTCCAATGACACCACGATAACTACACCCGATGCCCCGCAAGCCCCCAACAAGGCACCAGCGACGGGTGTCCAGGCCGCTGGTATGCGCGCCGTGGCTGCGAGGATGGTCGCCTTCTACTTCCGAGCGCCAGTCAAAGCCTTTTTCAGGGGGAGAATAGATTACATGAGCTATGCGAGGGCGATAAATCCACATGTCATGGCGGATGCAAAGTGGTCGTGGAGGATGACTACGCCGGCCGTATTGGCGCATGCTATACGGACTGAGGGATGGGGATTTATACCGAAGCAGGTGCTGCCACCACTGATGGCTAACACATGGTAAGAAATATCCCTCTTGTATGCACGCTCATACTAACACCCCCCAGCATCGGCGCCGTCCTCTACACAGCCTACCTGCACTCCCTCTCCGCCCTCCACGAACCCTCCTCCTATCAGACCAAACGCGTCTATCCACCCCCTCCCCCCTCCATAACCTTCACTGCAGGCTTCATCGGGGGCTCATGCCAGTCCGTCATCGCCGCCCCCTTCGACGCCCTGCAAACCCGATTCCGTACCGCCGACATCCTCGAAGGACGCCACAAGACAATGTGGCACTACGCCGGGCACAAACTGAGATCCATCGGCGTCCAAGGCATCTTCGCCGGCTGGTCTCTCTCATTCATGAAAGACGCATTCGGCGCCGCCGTCTTCTTCGGCACCTTCGAAACAGTGAAGAGCCAAGCTTACCTCGAGTTCGTGAGCCGCTACTACGGAAGTCGGACGCGCGACACACTGCTCGAAAAGTCGATTCCATATTTACAAGAAGACCACGACGACCGCCCCGTCATCCGCCCCCACTACATGCTCGAACCCATGTTCCTCCTCCTCGCCGGCGTCTCCGCATCCATCACCTCCCAACTCATCCAGCACCCCTTGACCGAAATTCAAGACGTCCATTACCGCCGTCTCGAAGCCCTGGACTTCCAGGCTCACCAAGACAACAAGCCTAGCCACATCGTCCGCCGCTACTACCACGCCTATGAAGAGACGTTTGCTCAGTGCAAGGTTTTAGCGAAAAGGGCTGGCGGCTGGCGGAAGTATCTCTACAGAGACTTCTTCATGAGCACGATTAAGCAGGTTCCCAGTACTGCGGCGGGACTTATTGTGTTTGAGATTGTGAGGCGGAAGTATAGTTTTGAGAATGAGGAGGTTATGATTATGCATGAGGATGCGAGGATTTTGCTTACTTGAAGAGGTGGGTGGTGTACAGGCGGGGGAAGCAAGACAAACAGCCAACAGCCAACATCCCGCATCCCGCATCAATTCCCGCTTGGGTGCTTGGATGGGGTGTACGCGATACGGTGGTGGGACCTCTTATGTGGGACAAGACGAGTGACCTCAGATCATCTGAATAGGAGACTCGTCTTATTCCACAAAAGAGATTCTGTTGCCTTATGGCGTATATGTCGTCCAAACTTCCAGATGGGTATCTAGGAAAATGGCACGAAGAGGAAGCGAAAGATGTGACCTCCACCACCTCCCCTCCGCCTCCCCCACCCACCCTGGTCGATGAGGTTTCATCATTTTGGTGGAGGACGTGTCGTTTCTCCCTCCCTTCCTCCATCCCTCTTCCTGTTGTCTTGATACTCACCATTCCGGATCGTCATTTCCTCGCCCAACGCTCATGCTCAGCTTGAGTAAATCCACTTCTTCGTTACATGCGTTCTCGGAAGTATAATGGGGGGTTTTGAAGTAAATTATTTGCTTAAAAACCAAGCGTTACTTCCGAGGGAGTATGGGGGGACTGGTAACTGGTGGATATACTCGGGCTGGGTGGGACAGTTGGGCTGGGAGATTAGACTGAGGAGGGAGAGGGGAGAAGGCAAAGGCGGTAGAAGTAACCGCCCACGTCGCTTCCAACACTGCTGCTCAGCATGGGTAGATGCAGTCGTTTGCTCTATACGTTCTCGGAAGTTGCGTGATATTGTCGAAGTGAATGTTCCTCTTGACAATGTCACGCTACTTCTGAGGGGGTATAGAAATACTGGCGCATCTACTCGGGCTGCGTAGTAGCATGTGGCGGGAGATTGGGGTGAAGAGAAGAGAAGATTCTGTTGGGGAAGGGAGCAAACGAGAGAAGCAACCGCCGACATCTCTTCCAACACTGCTGCTCAGCATGCGTAGATGCAGTCGTTTTTTGCTTTTGCTTTCTCGGAAGTAGAGCAACAAACGACTGCATCTATTAGGGCTGAGCAGGAGCGTTGGTGCAAGGGCTGGTTGATAAGAAAGGGAAGGATAGGGCAGTTTCGCCTGAGAGGAGAGGGGTGTTGTTTGGAGTCTGAGAATTGTTTGCATATGATACCCAGATACAGGATAATTACAGTCGTAGACTTTGTATATATGTATAGAATAACACAACTTGTATCGCATCTAAGGACTATCGCCATGAAGCGTCGTCTTACGGTCCAGATGTTGGCACCTCAGCCTGATCAGCCACGCACAAATCATATGCCCTGATCCAAGCCAACCCACTCACGCCACTCACCCACCTAACCTAGCCAACCGTTCAACTCTCTCCCGTTCCCTCTCCGCCTTCTCCCACATCTTCTGCGCCTCCTCGGCCCTTTCTCCAAGTCTCCTTCCTATGCCGAGCATCTCGAAATTGAGTATATACCACACGAACGTGCGGCCGAAATGCCACTCACCGCGTACGAACTGTAGTTGGCCTATAAACCACCTGAACAGCGATAGAATAGGTCAGTACTACGTTGAAGGATGAGGAAGTGGGGTAGAAAAGGAATAGAGGGATAAAGAGGAGAGGAGAGGGGGGTAAAAGGGGAGAAGAAGCAGTACAGGGGATAGTGAGTGAACTCACTGCCAAAAAATCCCCCCAATAACCATCCAACAAACCACGCCCTATTTCACATTCTGCCCATCACTCAGAATATTCCACGCTTTACTCTTGATCATATGTCCGTTTGCTCCACTCGTCTCATTCCCTGCATTCCCACCATCCCCTCCATTCCCAGCCGGTGTCCTCCAACACCCCAATCCTACGGTCATGGGGAGGGTTGTGGTGACGCCATTGGGTGCGGTTAAGGTGGATGTGGAGATCTGTGGACAGTCTGGGTCCCAGATTATGGGTTGTGTTGGTATGGGGAGGGGTGCTGTGCCTGTTGGGATTGGAGGGGGGGTGGGGAGTGGTGTGGGAAGTGGTGTGGCGTTTGGGCTGGTGGAGGGGAAGGCGAAGGATACACCGGATGCCAAGGAAGGAATTGTCGTTTTAGACTTATGGGTGGATTTGGATTTGGAACTCGAGGTGGTGGGTTCCTCGTCTGCGTCGTCATCGGAGTTGGAAGTTGCGGGTTTAGATTTGGTGGTCGTGGCAGGTTCATCGTCCGCGTCTTCATCGTCTGCGTTAGATGTCGCGTGATTAGTGGACTTGGGCTTGTGGGAGGTGCTTGGGGGGGTGTCGTCAGAGGATGTGTCGGTTTCGGCCTCTTCATCATCGTTGTTGAATGGTGCATCGTCGTCCCCGGGAGGAGTATCATCTGCTGCATTGGAAGTGGGCGTAGCTTCCTCGTCGTCGTCTGCATGTTTTGTCTTCGAAGATGTTGCCTTTTCCTTGACATCTTTGGATGCAGTGACAGTTGGCTTGGCTTCCTCGTCATCTTTTGCGGGTTTCTCCTTGGTAGATGTTGCCTTATCTTCGACGTCATCGGTTGCAGTTTGAGTTGGCTCGGCGTCATCATCCTCATCTGCAGGTTTTGTTTTGGTGGATGTCGTCTTTTCTTCGACGTCTTCGGATGCGATGGCAGTTGGTTCGGCGTCATCATCCTCATCTGCAGGTTTCGTTTTGGTGGATGTCGCCTCTTCCTCGACGTCATCGAATGCGGTGGTAGTTGGCGCGGTGTCATCACCTGTATCTGTCGGTTTCTTCTTGATGGATGTGACCTTCTTCTCAACATCCGTGGATGTGTCGGTAGTTGGCGCGCTGTCATCTTCCTCATCCGCTGCAGTCTTGGTATGTGACGCCTTGCTCTTCGTAGACGTAGGCGTCTCGTCGTCTCCAGCCGCCCCCTCATCAGTTTCAGCTTCTTCGTCAGGCACCGTCTCCCTATCAACCGGTAGCTCTTCTTCCTCTTCCTCGCCCCCATTCTTCGCATCAATACCTTCATCATCCCCATCCTTATCCTCCTGTTTATGCGCAAACTTCGTAGCAATAGCCGTCTCCTCTTCCACTCCATCAGTACCAGTACTGACTCTCGTAGGCCCATCATCTTCTACATCGATCTTGAAAAACCCCTCGTCTTCCTGCTCAGGCTCCTCACCAGGCCCACTGAAGCTACGCGAATGAATGCCTTTGGTGGTCGTCGTGGGGTACCACATACGCCAGAGTAGGGAAGGTGGTTTCAGTCTACCAATCGCCGCGTTACTCGACGCCGTGGTTGAAGCTATAGCAATAGAGACGGCACTCTTCCAGCTATAGTCAGAGGTGTATGTCATGCTGTTATCTGTCGATTGACGACCAGTGTCAGCCCTGACACCTATCAAAGCCGGCGTTGGCGCTATCAGTATTCCACGTCGCAAAGCCCCGTTAGCAGAGTCGGTCGTCATGATCGAAGTCTGATCAGCAATGTGTGCGGTTGATGGTGGATCTGGAGCAGTCTCTACAAAGCTCTTTATATACGAGTAAAACGAGTTTATGCTTGCTTCAGTGAACGGCTCGTCCGTGGTTGTGCTGACAGGAACAGCGGCTGGTGTGGCCTTGGGCGACGTGGATGTGTCTAGGTCAGCAGGGTTTGCAGGGTCTACAGCTGGACCCCGATACTCCTGGACCGATGTTGCAGATTCGGGCATTTCCTCAGTCTCAGTAGCCTCGGAAATCTTTGACTTTGCCTTGGTTGAAGACGGAGCGCTCTCTTCGGGTTCAGAAGGGTCGGCGTTCGCAGCTTTTGATACCGTTGGTGTACCTGAAGCTTCTACCGTCTTTGACGAATCTTCTTCGGCTCCGCTCGCTGTTAATTTGGTCTTGTGCTTGCTGGACACGTCGGTTGCCGATTCCGAAGTAGCCAAGTCACTTTCCGAAGCCGTTACAGACGTAGACTTATGCTTTGAAGACTTTGTTGCCTCGGATCCACTGCTGCTGTCGTCCGCTTTTGATGTCTTAGACACGGTCATATCTGTACCTTCATCATTGGTAGCAGACCCTGACTCGGAGGCCGTTGCATCCGTAGGTACATGTTTTGTGGACTTCGAAGTCTCTATCTCGTGAGTAATATCGAAGGTGTTCAAAGATGTGCTCTTGTCGGTCGAGGTCGCGGATGTTGCTGAAGCCGAGTCATCAGTGTCAGTCTCCGAAGCGGAGACTGCCGTAGACGCGTGCTTGGATGACTTCGACACACTCTCCGACGTTGTCTCGCTGGGGGTAACCTTCGGCATCTTGCCTTCTGATGCCGAGGCTGTCGCTGCTGCGCTGCCGGGACCTTTGCCACTCGGTGAACTGTCAATACCCTCCGCGTTCTTTAAGTGGAAACAGAAGCTATCAGCCGCTTCTTGGTGAACAGGTATAGCTACGACCTTTGTAGAATTCCGAACAGCTAGCTGCAGTTCTCCTTTTGGCCCACCCTCCGAGTCCAGCTCTACCTCACTTTTGCAGAACGCAGAGGCTGTGCTGTTGGACATGAAGACCGAAATGTAGCCTTCAGATGCGAGATCGATCTTGATATGGTAGAGGTCGGTGCTCCTCTTATTGACGATTTTTGTTTCGAAATCGAGAGCTTCTTCGCGTTTGGTGTCATCGTCGAAATGTACGAAGCCGACTTGCCTCGCGTCGAGACTTACAGGCACGCCAGTAACGGGTAGTTGGGAAATAGTAGGCTTCTGTCCACTTTGTCCCCTTGGCCAAAGAAATACTGTTGCCATGGATGACGCGGTGTCCCCGTTCGTAGCCTCGGAGACCTCATCAGAGATAGATGCAGAGGAGTCAGACACCAAGCTTTCGCTCCTCACATGGTGGTCCTTGAAATTTGTAGACAGTCTCCGTACTTCCGTGTGATAGGTGGTCTTTGTTATCGTATGTGTCGCACGCTCGCTGCGTCTGATAGGAGCTGCCAGAGCGAAATCGAAAGCCAGAGCATGCGTGCTCAGCGATAAGGTCAGTACGCTGACAAAGAGTTTCATATTGATTCCGCGCTGCGGTAGTATGCAGAAAGAACAGAAGAAGAGGAAACACAGATACAATTAGTGCATCAGGTTCGGTAGTGATGCATGGTCATTGACGAACATGAGCTCTGGTGATGTGTACTTATCTTGAAGCACGCGGCTCCCTGGAATGAAGTTGATGGAATAAACCAAGTGAACAAACATAGCTGTGAAGATACAAAGAAGTACCGCGCGAATGGTGGCTACACTATTCGCCGCCCATGTCAAGCGCATACTGCATATGCTGGTGAAATGTCAATGCTGCGTAAAGTGCGAGCTCGTCACAGTAACGGTGGCGTGCTTCGCAGTAGTAGCGGGAATGCATCACGCGCAATCTGAGAGCTTGAAGTAGCGCGGGATCTGGCGATGTTCTTCATAAAGATTGGAAGGTTCGGCGCGTTGAAGAGGTGATGGAGGATGGAGTGACGAGGAAGCCGCGCGCCAAAGCCGAGCAGGTCGGCTTAGTAAGCCAACACGGCACGTTCCGAGGTCATGCCTCGTTATCCGAACATCAACCACCACTTCCGACTTCCAGCCAGCACAATAGAGCCGCGTCTATCAGCCGCGCAATGAAAGCAATCACCATCCGATGTAGCTGACAAAAGGATGGCTTCAATAAAGCTTTTCCGATGGATCTCATGAAACAGTCAAACTCCAGTTAGGCACCAATGAACCCCTCAGTTCATTCCGACACAAGTGCCGAGATAGCTACCTGCGGTACGCGGTGATGCATCATATAATCACAGCGCCATGCTCCTCCAACGTCTCTCTCCATCCCGCCATCTCCAATTCGTGACCCGTTCTCCTTCACACTTGTCTAGACGCACCATGGCCTCCCTCCCCATCAAGCTCGCCGTCCTCGATGACTACCACAACATAGCAGCCCAGCACTTCGCCCACATCGACCCTTCGAAAGTCGAAACAACCGTATTCACCGACACCCTACCGTCATACGCGCACCCGAAAACATCCGATGCCGACCGCAAAGCCCTCGTCGACCGCCTCAAGCCCTTCTCCGCGCTTTCCACTATGCGCGAGCGCACTCCGTTCCCAGGCGAACTACTGCGTCAACTGCCGAACCTCAAAGTCATATTTGCGACGGGCGGCAACTTCCAGAGTTGGGATCTGGATACAATGAAGGACATGGGTATTGCGGTGTGCGCCGCGCCTGGCAAGGGCAGGACGGATGGGAAGGGTAGTGGTACGTCTCCGCGGTCGCTGCCGGTTAAGCAAGGGGGTGGGCATCCGACGACACAACATGCCTGGGCGCTTATACTGGGGCTTGCGCGGAATGTTGCTACGGATGATGCAGTCGTCAAGGGCAAGGGCGTGCCGGCTGGATGGCAGACTGAGCTCGCAATGGGTCTACAGGGGAAAACATTAGGCTTGGTCGGCCTAGGAAGAATCGGAGCGCATGTCGCAAGAGTTGGCGTGCTGGCTTTCGGCATGAAAGTCGTGTGCTGGAGTGCGAACTTGACACAGGAGAAGGCCGACAAGCTCGCCGAAGAGTGCGGGCTGCCTGTGACAGGTAGTGGCATGACCGATGCGAACGAGAAGACCTTCAAAGTCGTCACCAAAGAACAGCTTTTCACATCCTCCGATGTAGTAAGCCTGCACTACGTCCTCAGCGAACGCTCACGCGGTATCGTCGGCGCACAGGAGTTGGGGTGGATGAAACCAACCGGCCTCCTGATCAACACTTCGCGGGGCCCGCTTGTCGATGAAGCTGCGTTGCTGGACACGCTCCGACACGGGCGCATCCGTGGCGCCGCGCTCGACGTGTTCGATATCGAACCTCTTCCCGCCGACAGCCCATGGCGTAGCGAAGACTGGGATGTCAAAGGCAAAAGTAGGGTGCTACTCACGCCACACATGGGTTATGTTGAAGAAGGTACTTTGACGACCTGGTATGAAGAGACGGCGGAGAATCTGGAGAGGCTGGTAGAAGGCAAGGAGTTGTTACACCGACTCATTTGATTCCAATAACAGATTTTTTCTAGCACATGACAGGCTCACGCCAACTCAACATACTCTCGCTCCCCAAAATCACGGTAATACCCAAATCCACTGTGCGTCTCCACCAGCAGCAGTGGCTTTAACCACTCCGGCACTTCCGGCGCTACACTATCCTTGTGATAATACACCGCCATCACGTGATTTCTACTCGGTGTAGTCCCTCCCCAGTCGAAACCCAGCGTATCCACAATCCTGCGGATCGCCGTATGCAGTGCGCAGTATAGAGACGACTGTCGGTCGTCGTCACTGTCCCATGGGCATGTGCTTGTGTCGTAGAGGAGCTGCTCTGCGCGGTCGTAGGTTGAAGGGGCTTGCTCTTTGGAGAGTTTGGTAAAGTCCCAAATGGTGCAGAGGGAGGCGAGATCTGGCTCTGAGATGGGGATGCGTGTTGGGTGCGGCGGCGGAGGGGATCTGATGCGACGGCGAGTGCCGTCGGGAAGTGTTTCAAATCTTGGTCGGCGGCGTCTGGCTGTTCGGGTTGTTTGGGGTGGAGTTGGAGTCGTCATGGTGGTCGTCTTTGGTCGGCGGCGTCTGGAAGTTCGGGTTGACGGAGGGGTTGGAGTTGGACTTGTCATGGTGACCGTCTTATTGAGTGGGAATGAATGGGGTTTTGTGGGAAATTGAGTTACGTGGTGGTTTGAGGTACGCTGAGGTCTATTTGAGCTTATAGCGTTCTATGCGCAGCACCGGCTTTATATACTCATGACTGTGCGATAGTAATTTGGGTCGGATAAGTGGGTCGGCATGTGACCCTCGGTTCCGCTGTGACGCATGATGAGAAACGGGCCAATCTCAGCTTCTGGGTTGCAAAAAACGGTCTGAGAACCTTGGGAGGTTGGTGGAAGGGAAAGAGTTATTGCATCGATTGATCTAACCCAGTTGAAGTTCTAGCGGAATTCCCCTTCTCTCGTCTTCCGTCAGGTCTATGTCGAAGATTTCCTTCAAAGCGGCGATGCGCTCCTCCTCTGTTGCACAGTCTTGTACGATCTTGCGGTCAAGGCCAATGCTCTGTTTGATGCCGCCTTCAAAAAGCGTTACACTCCCAACAATCGTCTCTCTGGTATCGTCCATGAGCATTTTGGTACTGGTGACATATTTGGTGAAGAAGGATGTCGGATTCGTAGATGTGAACCACGACATGATCTCGTAATCCTGAGGAAGGAACTCCGTCTCCGTAAAGCAATAAACCGGCGTCCACTTGTCGTCACCCTCGTCGCTCGGGTTATAGCAAACGTCGTAACACCACATCTCATTCGAGTGATCCCCATACGACTCCGCAATAGCGCGCCGCTGGACGCGTATGAGCCTTGGAGCTATACTCGTCGTTTCGAATCCGTCTTGCAGTGGATACGCCAGATTGGGTCCCATGGCCCCCATGCCAACGTCGGCGACGTACCAGCCCTCATCATCGAATCGCACTAGATTCAGCATATGGTTCCAGCCGTCGTATGTAGCCGCTTGCTGCCGACGGACATCTGGAAAAGGGCTCATGGCCCGCGACACGCGGCCGCCGCAGTTGCGCACATGAAACCCGAGGGAGCGCAGAACGGTGGCGAAGAAGGTGTTGTTTTCCATGCAGCGGCCGCCGCGGCGCTGGGTTACTATCTTGGTGTATAGGGCTTGTGGGTTGAGTGTGATGGTTTTGTGGGGGGAGTAGTGGAGCTCGAGGTTCTCGAAGGGGATGTGGCTGGTGTGGTGTCGGGTTAGAGCTTGCAGGAATGGGAGGCCGTGCTGTTTGGTTGTGGCTAGTGTTTTGTCTGATAGTATGGGCGTGTTCAGATATTTCTGGGGGAGACGGATGCGCTGGAAGTAGGAGTGTAGTTCGGACGTGCTGTAGCGTGGCGCCTCGTCGCCTAGTGGTAGCTGCGTCAGACGAGAGGGCACTGGAGTGTCTGACATATTGTAGAGGGCCGTGGATTGACCGAGAATAGCGAGTGGTGGCTTAGGTTGGAGTACGATGCCGGCAATGAATTCAGGTGCCTATTAATTGACCGATTTCGTAAATAGAAGGGGGAGATGCAGTCTAGGCATAGTTCTTAGTCGCAGAGTCTAGCAAACTCATTACCAACTGTTCGCGATCTGTCTTGCCCCGCACTTGCTGCGGGCTAGCGGGTCGCACCGCGGAACACGCGGGTTTGACGCGGCTACGCCCGGTCAACTTGTTCGCATGACAAGTCGGGCTTTCGCATTCTCGACAACGCTTCGTCTACGTCACCCTGCACGTCGTGGAACCAGAGCCAGTCAAATCGACCTTGCTGAAGGCGAGGCAAGATCTTGCTCATATCGTCCCCTGCTTCTTCGTGTTGGAAGAAAAGCATACGAGCAACCTCAGCTGATTGCTCCAATTGCTTCTGGGCGCGCGGCCTTCGTACTGCGTCGTACGCGCTGAGACCAGTAACGATGTTCGCTTCGCTATTTGCATCTGGTCCCGATGACTTGGCAATCTCTGACAATATATTCGAAAGGACCAGAGCGTCCTCGACGCCTTGAGCAGCGCCCGCTGCCTGAAATGGCAATGACGCATGTGCGCTATCACCTAGAAGAGCCACACGGCCTCGGTAATATGTCGAAGTCTTCAAGTGGTGGAAGAAGCCCCATCGGATTGGATTTGTCTTGGCCAAAAGTTTGCGGAAGCGGTCGTCGACGCCTGGTCCTTCGAAATCGGCCATCATGGCTTCATGTGAGACCTTCTCTGTCACAGCTTTTTCCAGGTCCCAGCCTTGGTCATCTGTGACACACAAAAGGTAGTTGAACTCCTGCAAGAAATAGCGATGAGTACGGGGACATGTCTTTGGTCTTGGACATGGGTACTGACTTACCTTTCCCTCTGATATACGGTACGTCACTGCGCAGCGCTTATGGCCAAAGTAAAATCTGGCTACGTCCGTCAAATCTCCTAGAATACCTTCGGCATCAGCCATTGGAATGACAGCACGGTAGCAATACGCATCAGCGTAGACTGGCGCTACTTGGTCAGGAAAGTGCGGCTTCAGGACATGCTCTCGGACTGTGCTCTTGATGCCGTCAGCGCCAGCAAGAATGCTTGCTTCTGCGACTTCTCCATCGGCAAAGGTGAGGACAAGTTTAGATGAGAGCTGTTCGATGTTGACGAGGCGCTTGTTGAACTTCACATTTTGTCGTGGGATGAAGCTGGTCATGATGTCAAGCAGCGCTTTGCGATGCGCCTAGTACTAATCAGCAATACTCGTGTTCATGGCGATGACTTGGAGCACATACAGACTTGCGCTCGAAATCAGGATGGCCCCACGCCGACTTGCCATACCATGCTTGGTCTTTGCCTGCAACAGCAGGTTAACAATAGGCACAGCGAGAAGTGATGTGGCAAAGAAGAGGTCCATACCCAAACCCTCACTAAGAAGCATGCCCTCAAAAAAGATGTCTTGTTTGTCAGCCCCTTTGTTCCCCACGCATATCCTCTCATACAAGGGACGGAATCCAGGCTCAATCAGATCCATGGCTCGCATGCCATTTGGCGCAAAGCCGATGCCAGCACTTTTGTCAAGTAAGCAAAGGAAGCTTAGGTGAGGGGCATGGTGATGAGGACATACCCTACAGCTGAAAATTCCTTGGCGTCTTCATACAGGGTGAAGGGAACGGATTTCTTGTGCAGAGCCATGGCCAGGGCGAGGCCACCAATACCCGCGCCTGGATGGCCTGTTAGTGACATGGGATAGAAGATGGGTTAATGTGCAGATATGCATACCGATAATGGCGACGCGAAAGTCGCTGTTCATGTTTCCGACCACGATGTACGGAACGGTGCTTGTGCTACGACTCTGGCGCGACGATGACGCGCAATTGGGAAGAGCGACGGACAGTTATGGACAACGATGGACAGGCGATGCAAGGATGCAGTAGGTAGGCCGCTGAGTGTATCGAGTAATTCATCACTTGGGCGGTGTCGTGGTGGCCCTGTTGGCTCGAGGCGTGGTTAGATGGCGTGCCGCGATTACCCCGGGTTACCTGGCACTAGGTAGACGCTACCACGCCCCGGACGGGAATAGCCGGACACGTGATATCCCGCCCGTGAATCATAAAGCGGCATGTTCAGACGCTCCCTATTGTGTCGTGTCTCTCACCACCACCATGGCCACGGCGCAATCGGGGTCAGCCGCGGACACGGCCGCATCGACCAACAAACGCCGGCGCATTGCTCTCGCATGCAACGCATGCCGTGTACGCAGGTCGAGGTGCGATGGACGGCGCCCCTCATGCTCGTCCTTCTTTCGACGTCTTTCATTTGTGAGTTTCTTCATGTATGGATCTCGTTGGGGTCGCAAAGGTTGTGACTGGCTCGTTATCTCTATGCGTCATAGCACAACCAGGGTAGCGTGACGCGCTAGAATCATACCCGACCATGGAGACCTTCCACCCAGCAGATTTTCTTGTATATATAGCGAGCCCCATACAAAATTGAAACTCGCGGATTACAACAGCACTTCAGATCAACTTATCAACCAAAATTGAACACCCACCTTTTCTTGTGTCGCTTCCACAGAGAACCACTATGTCGACTCCAACGCAGACCAGCACCGGCGCTACGCCTCCTCGACCAACACACCACATCCGAGCGGACGGTACTCGCGGGCGCCGAATTCGCTACCCACCACCACCGCGCCCGACGCGTAAATCACCATCGTACGCCCAGATCAAAGAACTCTGCGCCATCTGGAAGTTCAAAGACTGGAGGGAGCTGCCCGCCGAGCACTTCGACCGTGCCGAAACATACTTCTATGACACCAGCACCGGACCTTGGCATAGCGAGGCCAGCCGGAGGTGGCTCTTACATTGCACCCTGTTGACGGCAATTGAAAATATCATTGCCGCGCTGGGATTCCCAAGTATGGGCACTGCCTTCGGGACGAAGTACATATTCTCGGCGCACTACACGGATGACGATAAGATTCCGGTGCTGCCGGGGTGGCTTCAAGAATTAGTGATGGTCGAAAAAAGTTCTCTTGACGGTTATACACCAGAGTGAAGCAGGGCAATAGCAGGGCGACCACATCGAGTCAGCGAACTGGTGATGGAGAGGTTACGATAGGGGCTGCCGACTACATGGCTCCTAATATCTCACGATTGAACTGGAATCCGGGCCGTTGAAGAAGACATCACATTTCTGTTGCGAGGTCTCATGATCTTTTTATCACTTCGGAACGCGCGACAACACCCTCAAACCGCAACGACCACATACAGGACACCCGTCGCAACATTTCCAACCCCAAAATGAAAGACTCGACCATCCACACCACTGCCCCGGCCGTCCATGGCGCCGTGCGAGCCACAAGTCGACTCAAGCACCGCGTCGTCCTCCAACTCGGTCACCAAGACCCAAGATCGCAACCGCAATCGCATCTTTGGCCTCAACAGCAAGGATGAGAAGAAGGCCGCCAAGATCAATCGAGGGCAAGGGCAAGGCGAAGGCATCCGGCCGGAACACAAGCAGCGCATCCGACCAAGCCACGAGCAGCACATCCGGCAATGGCAAGGAGACAGAGAGGCGGTCTAAGAATGGAACCGAGGCCGTTGAGACGATAGGTCAAGAAAGCACCCAGATCCAACCTTACTGAGAACACTGAGAATTCAGGAACCGATATTTCGACAAGGAACGCAATGAATCTCAGCCTGGCAACTACAAGCATCCTGATACTGTGCTAGTGTATGCAAATATCTACGTTAGAACTATACATCGTACTCGTAATGCTCTTTCTGCCCACCGCTTCTCACATGTCGTCCTCTGACTGCTCTGACTCCTCGTCCTCCTCGGAGGCAAGCTCCAAGCGGAGCCCCAGCAGACGCGCCTCCAGGAAGTATGCGTCTAGACACAAGAACATACTTGTGTTTTCCAGAATGCTCTCATGCGGCGATCCAATATGTAACCCAAATAGGATCTTTACAGAATTTTTGCATGGCATATACTAATGCCCCCGAGTCTCCAGCGACGCCAAACGGTATGCCGTCGATCCATTCGACCATACCGACCCATCTGTGTATGTCAAGGTCGATGAGGTCCTTGTAGTCAGCAAGTAGATCTTGCTCGTACTCCGTCTCGAAACCCCCTTCCATGGTGGATCGTTCTGGCTGTGGCTTGCGCTGATATGATGGGAAGCGCCATCGGATCTTGCTGAAACAGAGTATATCTGTGTCGCTGGAAGTCCCATCCACCTCGTGCAGCGAAGAAATCGAAGAGGTCTGGCGCCTACATCAAGGTGGAAATATGCAAAGTATATGACCCAACGTCTATGTAGGCTCCAGGGTGTTCAGGTATTCCGCTCCCCTCTGGTCAGTGATTGTATCATCCAGATAGATGCGATCCAATTTAGGAGCGGTACCCTCGGGTGTGTATGTCAAGTTGAGATCGGGGATTTTCTTTACGAACGGAATCCGAAGCCGACTTGGCAGTATGGCTACCGAGTTTTCGGATGTTGCGGCGACGTGGAGGACCGTTTCCCTGGCTTTTCGAGGGAGACAAGGCGTTGCTTTATGTTCTCGATATCGATGCGGACAGTAGCGGACTCCATAGCAGTAGTGAAAGGGACGATGGATAAACTTCGCGCAACTATAGCAGGCAGGTTAACATTGGCATAGATAGAATGATTCTTAATTGTGACAAATACCCAAAGAAATGCAATGTTTGCAAAAGTCTGAAGAAGAGCATATGTGACAATAGGAAATTGTCACGAGTTGTTGACTCTGGACGAGGTTCACTGGTGAACATGCGTGCGTAGGCGCAAGTGACTGCTGCGTCGGTTTGGTCTCGGAACGACGCTTGGAAATTCCAGTCTGCTATAGCGGCTTTGAAGTCCGCGATATTTGCGTCAGTCCGTATTACGGGTGCATTGTAGTTGTTCGGCCATGGCCATTATTGGGATCGTTCTCGACCGGGGAGATATTCGGGGACGGATAATCTTCGTCCTTAGGCCTTTTGCCAGAGCTTTCCGGCTGTTTCTCGGAGGATGCGACGCGCTTGTTTGGGGATGATGCGGACATATTTGTAGTATTGTATCGAATTTCGGTACGAAGAGTTCTGCAAGGGGAAAAGGGGTACTGTGTTGGGAAATGGCGTGGCGTGGTCAATCTGGTGCGATGTCAGAGGCGAGGAATTCCCAGTGTCGCTACCGTATCTTGTATCCGCTCTTCATTCACACGGTTGGTGATCCAGAATTCGTTACCGCCTGCAAGAACGTGTCCTGCTGTCATGGCGTAGGGCTGGTTCCCTTCATCCTCTGGCTCAAGAGAAGAGATTGTTTCTAGAAGGCGGTAAAACATCATGTGCGACGTGATGTATTTACATTGGTCTTGCGACCGCTCTTGTTCCTTGTGAAACCGACCTCTGGTGAAGATCAATTTGGCGGCGATGGCGACGACGTTGGCCTCTTGGTCCTCCTACGACTTCGAGAAATTCCATTGCGCCATCGCAAGCTTGAAGTCTCCGATGCTCATGTTATGGCGCGGGGGTCGTCGTTGTGTTTCTAGAGCAGAAACGTTAACAAGAAGGGACACTGATAAAGGTGCCTTCGATGGTACGTACCCGAAGTAAAACACCTGAACGGAGTGTGAAAGAGGCAATAGTAAGGTATGTGTGTGTGTGTGGGGTAACGATGGGCTGCAATATCCACGTCGTCTCTTGGTGCAATGTATGTTGGTCGACGTCAACCAGAACGCGTCGATGGTGCGATGTAGAAGGGGGCGTGAGGGAAGTAGATTACATTCAACATCAACATGGCAAGAACACGGTCATTAGCTGGGAGGAAGTACATTCGGTAGTGCGGGCAAGTGCACCCTCAATCCCTTCGTATTTGCCAGAACTAGGCAACGGCTATCTAGTTGTTCTCCATAACACCGCCGTAGTCCCCAAATCTGAATACTGATATCGCGCCATGGGTATATTCAATCGGCAAAAATGTCAACTTCCTCCTCGTCGTCTTCCTCGCCTCTCCCTTCCCAATCGCTGTCCAAGAGTTTGGCCATGAACGCCGCGTCGTGCTCATTCAACTTCGGGACTGCAATAGCACTTGATTGCTTCCTTCGATCATTCGGAGTTCCACCGTGCACCGGCAGGCTCGCATAGCCCACGATAGCGTCGGCGAAGCGCTCGTCGTGGCGGAAGTCGCGCCATTTGGCATAGCAACGTTGCTGTTGATGTCAGTATGCCGAAGTCATAGTAGTGGTGTGTCTAGAACTTACGGCTGGAGTCATGCAGGAAAGCGCCTCGTCGTCGTCTTCAAGCGTAGCAGGATCCGCGTAGCGCATCTTGAGCGTCTGCTCGCAAGCGAACACGTACTTGGCGCGGAACATGTCTCTGACCGACTTCAGCTTGGCCTTAACCTCTGAGGTACCAAATCCGAGATTGTAGATCTTGTCCCATGGGATCGACTTGCCGACGTCTCCCCACATCGCGGCCGCCATACGTTCCGGGTCCTTGTCAAAGTCGCCCTGGCAAAGAGCTTCGAGATCAACCGGGGTGAGGTCTTCGACGGCCTTATCAGCATTCGCAGCCTGCTCCTTCCACTCGCATATGACGATGGCTACCCTAGGATAGATGAAGTCGCTCATGACCTCGGCCTGGAACTCCGACTGATAGTCCCTCGTCCGCTTTCTAGCACGAGCGAACTCATCGGACGACTTATCGCTGATCCCGCAGCCAGCGAGCAGAGCGATGGCGTCATCATCAGTGAGCTCGTGCTTCAAGATATAGACGATCTTGGCGGCAGGCTTCAAGGTCGAGCTCAGCATCATGATGTCCTTGCGCGGCGGTGAGGTACCAAGGAATGGCTTCAGCCAATCGGATTCGCTTGCCCAGTCGATGCTGTTCGGCTGGAAACTGCCGTAGCTGCTTCGTGTCTTCGCGTAGTTGCCGGCGACACGGCCGCGGTTTCGCACGATGGTCTTGGTGACTCTTCCGGTGTCGATCTGATCGGACGCCTCACCTTGCGAGGCGGCGGTGGCGGGCGCGTAGCGGGCTCGGACGAGCTTTGCTGCTTCGAAGATACTGTGTGCGACCATGTTGATGCGACGGGCGAAGTGGTGACAATGATATGAAACGACGGGTGAGAACAAAACGGAAGGAGAGTTGGAATTGCAGACCGATCCTATATACTACACTAGCGGGGCTCCGGTTTCGCAAACGTGCTCAAGGTGAGAGCGAACTCGCGGCGACGCTGCTTTTCCCGCCTTCACCTCATTTTGCAGCGACCAGACACCGCCAAGAATTGCTCTTACATTGTTCGCCGAGGGCTCTTCCTCTTCTGTGAGCCGCGTTGCATGCCTGCACTCTTCCTCCCCGGCGTGTGGGTAGCCGCATCCTGGGTTAGAGGCTCACACATCTGCTCGAGCGAAGCAAACATCTCAGGCTTGAGGACCCACTCCCCCGACTCTTCGTCCCGCACATAAGGCTCTTGCAGAATCCACTCCCGCCACTTTTTCATAACCTTGACTACATGCGCTTGACTGGCTTCAAACCATTCTTCATGCAGCCTACCGCAGCCTTCACACTGTCTTCGCAGTCTACACTCCTTCAGCTCAGTGTGTATAAGCTGCTCGACGCGATGAACATGCGGCATCACCACCTGACTCTCCATACGGGAGTGATAGTCGTGCTTGCGCTTGCACTTTGTGTTCCAGTCTTTGAGCCGCGTAGCCAGATCGTTGGTGTACCCGATCTTGACGATGCCGAAATACGCCTTGTCCCAGAAGAGGTAAACATGACCCGGAGTCAGGTCTTTGGCACCCAATGGAAAAGCGGCTCTTTCGTAAAGTGCAGAGAACACGGAGAGCTCCCGGACTTTCTTTGGTTGATAAGGTGTGAAGCCCGATGAGCACGAGAAAGAGAAGCGGACAGTTGCCTCAGTGGTTGACACTCTGAACTTGGGCTTTGTTGCCCGCTTGACTTGTGTAGCTGGCTTAAATGTTATGACAGTGGTCGCGGGTCGCGCAGCATGATTTGTAGATGCTTCAAGGTGACTGATCGTGTTGACCCATCGCGTAAAAGTCGATTGATCTTGTTTCGTCATGTGTACCCTGCCTTCAAGCTTGTTGCGCAGTTGCGATATCCTGGATCCACCCTCAATCTCGTTCAACGCCGTGCCTTGATGCGTCTTGCACATGACTGACTGCACGATCGTCTTGACACGGTGGAGCATACGCCGGTAGTCTTCTTGTCTATTAAACTTCGCTAGATCCTTCACAGCGCCAACAACATCACGACGCGATCCCTGAGGCTTTGCCATGTAACTGCGTCGTTGAGAGGGGCTCTTTACGAGAGATGCGGCGCAGCAGCCTGGAGCGCTGGCGAGCCTCGAATGGAGATCGTGTGGTATGAGTTGTTCCAGTAGCTTGGCGAATTTGCTCTTCACAGGTGGATTTATATGGCCTCGGGGCGATTCAACGCTGCTTGTCGCTTTGTGAACAGCGGTATGTATAGCTGAAGCGATTTGTGTGGAGGCTGTCTTATTCTGCGTGAACACGAACGTGGGGTTGCTGTTGAATTTGACGGTAGCAGCTGCGACGTTTGCCTTGGAGACTGTGACGCGCAAGTCAGATGTGATTGCTATCAGCTTCAAGATGTCTCAACGTACTCTTTTCAAGCACCAACGTGACGCCTCGGAACAACTTCGGTTGGAAAGGGTCATCCTGTGCCGCTGTCTCCTTTTCCTGGAAAAAGGGCTTGGGAATCGCTGGAGGCACTCCAACGCCGAAAATAGGCTTGGAGATTGGGGTGAAAAGCTGCTTCTTAGAAGAATCAGGGGGTGTTGCAGGTGTGAAAGGCGTCAGGATACTTCGTGTAGAAGCGCTGGTCGTCCGCTTGGTGGGCGTCTCGGGTAAATCCCACATGTCGTTGAACCCTGCCGGAGACGACGTAGTCGATACTGTCGATGCTGGTGACACCCATGAGACCTTGTCAAGGTCTAGTAAGGAAAGCACACCGCGGCTACTCTTCTCTGAGACCGGTGTGGGTAAGAACGTAGCGCAGGGCTTCTGGGCTGTATCATACCCACACTTGGGTGTCGGCAGACCGCCTGGTTGGATGCTAAGATCTTCAGTAACGAATGTCATGATGATAGCTCTGAGAAGACACTGGGTAGCGTAATCGATGGGAAAATGTAAGAATTAATAAATGAAGTGGGTGAGATGGATGGGTCGTTTGGTGCCAGCAGAAGCTGAGTCCATGCCAGTATATATCCTCAGCCTCGCGGAGCCAAGTGCATTGCCTGTGACCACCACACCTACCCATCTCGCTGAAACCTTCGAGGTACTGCGATGTCAGCCTCAGTCGTTGCAGTGGCATGATACGAGAAGCGCATGGGCTGCGGCAACGTCCATCCGCGTAGACATATTACCATGATGGGCAGGTGTATTCGCCTCGCAAACGTCCATGAATGACTCGAGGACAAGATGGATTCGCAACCATGTGGCTTGTGAGTTTTGGATCTTTGGTGGCTGCATGACCCGTGCCGCAGAGCCGCAGGTGGTTGTCTTGCTCAGCCTACCACAACCACAGGGTATGAGAGCTCATCGTTAACGACCCTCCGATGAGACTGTATCTGGAAGTCAGTCTCTTCCGCGATGAGATTACCTGTTGAAAGCAGATTTGGCGCCGGTGATCGAAAGACCGGAAAACGGATCAAGGACCTCGAACTGCATCCTCTCGCAATAATTTGGGTAGCATTTTGGCCCCAATCAGGAACAAAGCTTCGAAACCTCTCGCGTAGTGTGTCGATGGGTGGACTGTAATTCTACCAGGCTGCATGCGCCATTCCAGGCTCGTATCGTGTTGAACGCGTTCCTACCATTTGCCGTCTTTCGACCAGGACGTGGGGTTTGAAACAAACGTCGTGATCTTGCCGTGGACCGTGCTGAACAGCGCGCCGTCGGCGAGCCTCACACAGGCGATACACATCGAGATAATGCAGATTGAGCGGCAGGTGAAGCATCGGTAGGCATGCTGACAGATTTTCTGAAACAAGGATAGATGCAGTGAAGTCCGTGAGTACGTCGCGTTGAGTGTAGGCGAAAGCGAAGGGGATGGAGGTTTGTTGTTCTCGGGGACGCGTCGTTGGCACGTGCGGGGCCGCCACGTGGGACGGCAACCGCCGCGGATCTGCTCTCTACAGCTGGAACCCTAGTCACCGCGCGCATCATTTGTGTCAACGCGACAATTACGACAGTAATAATCGCCGCGAGGACCTGTCATACTCTTGATTCAAACAAGACGAATCCACGATGAGTTTCGCACATGGTGTATGTCTTGAGCAGTCCACGCGAGCCCAATCCTTCTCCAATATTCCCCTCCAGCAGTCCGCGGAGCAGGCACGACAACGAGAAGATACGTCATGTGCCTAGACGTATCGAAAGTCTCGTACCACATATCCCTTACCAGGCCTGTTCTGAGTAGTATTGCAGCACCTGATCTTAGACCGCCTGACCGTTTGTCAGAAGCATCTAAAATTCCACTGGCTAAACTCTCGCGGCCATTGCTATCGAGTATCATGTACTGCCTCGAGCCCGACTGATTTTGAATAGATACTGGATACCACTCGCATTGGAGCGTGAGCACGTAAGCGGGATCAGTGTTTTCCTTTGAACCTAGATCGGTCCTTTGAATCTGGATGAACTGAAAGCATGGATCCCTCATATTACCCAGCGCTTTGAACCGAACCGCAAGATCTGTAGAGATCCAACTCCAGGAAGGGGGTGAGAAAACATCATTATCCGATCCAGAATCCTGCTGTTGAGTGTCCTGATCGATTGGGCAATACCACAGGAGCTCGTATCCCAAGTTCTCTATCCACATGCCCGCCGCATAGGTATAGCCGGTATTCCTTCGGAACATGCTTGCAAGACCTGACAAGGCGGGTAGCTTGTCAGAACGGTAGGTGAGACGGCAGCGCGAATACTCCGAGACAATGATCTGCCAGTCTGACGGTGGCGAGACTGGGAACGAGGGGTTGTCATCGAGTGGCCTAACGAGCGGGTCCCTTACTTGGGGGCATTCAAAACTTTCGTAGCGATACGGAGTAGCTTTGCGCATAGCTACTCGATGATTTCCTTCCCGCGCTGTATGAGCGAGACACTCCCAAAACATCTCACCGTCGCTGTAGTACAGCAGCCTTGGCGATAAAAGACGCTCTTGGAGTGCCCATGCCCTCTTGTAAAGTGGCGCAGTCTGGAACACACTTTCCTTGGTTCTTTCGTGGTTGTCGGAGTTGATTGTACCGTGTGCCGCCGCCGCCACCAATGCGCCGTCGCGCGGAACCAGCATACCGTGATGGCAGTCCGTGGAACTGAGCGCATAAAGCGTTAGATACGAGTGTCGATAGATGTCGCCCATTTTTGCCGCTTCTTCCGACCAGTCATCTTTGCAGTCTTGGAGTATACACAGGCTGTCTATCCAAAGGTACTGTATGCCTAGCCTCCGAGTCACTTGAACTGCATCACGGTAGAGCTCAGGAAAAGATTCTATCGGTATACCTCGGCAATGTTCTTCGAGTGTGCTGGTAGTTGTGATAAGAGGTTGCTCACCTCCCCAACAATGACTCAACGTCATATACGAGGCTTTGCGACCATCGGAGATATATAGGAAAGGCGTTTCTGTGTGGACGTCAATTACCCGCGTTGGGAGTGGTGTCTGATTACCTTGGTAACAACTGTGGTTCATATCGCACTTTCCGACCCATTCTTTGACCAAATCAAAGCTAGCTTCGGAAGAGGGGACAGGTGCGATCTCACGAGCATACTGTCCGTAGATGTATGCGATGTAGCCTGATTTGAGATGTTAGCGTTGATTAGATGCTGGTGTGATTTTCTTGTCGTACTCTTGCCTCTTAGATGATCCAGAAACCCGTCTCCGGTTTCTGTCCGCTCAGCAAACCATAACAAGAGAGAGTGTGAAGGCAGCTGTTCAGGCCGATCAAGCGCAGGAGGGTTTTCGCGATCGGCTTCAGACTGTGAAACTCCTATGCGTATTGAACGACAAAGCCAGCAGCCTTCGGTACCTGAAGCCTCGAGTTCTGTTAGACCGTCAAAGTGTCGCACCCTTGATCTTTTCCGCCAAGATCTTAGGGCCGTACACTTCTCGCAGAGAACTAACCCGATGATGGGCCTGATATATCCTTTGAGCAAAGCTGTCTCGTAATCCGGCTTGAAGTAGTTGTAAAGGACTTGGAATAACTTTCCACTGAGCACGTGTATTGCGTAGCAGCATGCATATTGGAAAAGCATTACCCCCAGCTGAACTGCCAAGAGCACTGCCAAGGCGCTGTGTAGGTTTTTGAACACATTCATGTTCATGGCAACCTAAGATCGGACGTGCGCAATCGAGGTCGATACTGATAATGATATGTTCGTTGTGCTTTGCTGATCTAGCTGCGAAAGTGCGAACATATCTGTTGGTCTCTCAGCCCGTCAGCCGCACTCCGCTAGGCTGGAAGTGGTTTAGCTCATCGTCCGATAATCCAAGCCACAAGCTAAGGGCTGCTGCGGCTGCGCCTCGCTCGCCCAAAAAGCCACCTAGCCAACGCGTGTTAGGTGAAGTCCATCCGGCAGTTATCACTAGGTATTCTGATCAATGCCTTCAACTCAAATTATCTTCAAACCGAAGCGTGAAGAATTCCTCTTGCAGCCGCGTAGCCGCGCCACATCGACACATCTCCCACAAACCCAAGCCATCTATAGCCCTTTCAGAACCTGCGGCTTTTCACAGGCACTTCAGTTGTCTTATTGAAGTTGATGGCATTCATCTCTACCGAGGTGGTCCAGCATGTCCGCAACCTCGGAATACCATGGCGGCACTACCTACGCATTCAGATCTTTATGGTCGTAATGTTCACCGCAATCTTCTTCTTCATCTCCGGTAGGAAGCACCGCTGAGGGTATCATAGCCAACTTGCCGAGTTGTATTAACACCAAGCAGTCCCAGAACAGCATATATCTCTTGACAAAAGGAGCTGGGGTGGATGGGACGAGCGCGCAAACTCGGAGCGATGCTACAAGCAGGAACGTACAGCGACGCTGCTAGCGTTCTGGCTCGGGGTGCTTGGTATGGACCAATGGTATGCGCGTCACTGGATTCTGGCTGTCTTCAAGATGGTTACTCTAGGTGGCTTTGGTGTTTGGGCGCTTGTCGATATCAACTTATGGATCGTTGGCGGATACTATGGTACCCCAGGGTGTCCAGGTGGTAGTAAGAAAGGATGGGCCTACTGAGCGATGGCGTGCAGGATGTATCGTAGTACTTCGCTGCGAGAAATTGGGGTCTACTTGACCGGGCACCCAAGTAGGTAGCCATCTAGGATTTGAGTCTGTCTACTTCTTAACTTTGTCGACGTTCACTCCCTGGTAGCGCGATGCTTTCCAATATTACGTTGTTCATGTCGCCTGGCATTGGGTGTCTGGGCGTGAGGACAAAGTCGAGGGCGAAGTTGACGGGCTTCAGTGGAGGCGCGTGCGCCGAAAGCGGGGCCGCGGGTGAGCTATGACGACTGCTGACCCCTAAATCGCGATGCTGAGTTCCCTAGCACCTTGTGGCCTCTCCAAATACATGATCACGAAAGACTTTATCGCTGCTTCGTGGGCAAGTATCCCAAAAGTGATTTGCGATATGTTTGCTTCTGAGTTGGCTTGCAGAAACGGACCGCAAAGTTACGTAACTCAGGCAGCCGCTAACGTACGCAGCGTGTCAGAGGCTACCTAGGTTGCTATGCTCCCCTTTACTTCTAACACTAGTAAACGGCACTCGTAAGACAAAGATCGGACTATGCAACGTCTATTCGCAACTAGATTTAGACGATAAATCTTCCGAAACGACGAGTTTCGATGGTCATGACGAGCCCATCGTTAGTCTCATGGTACAAGCAGGTGCCATGGACCCGATATCACTCTCCAGAATCTAGAATCGCTTCAACTACTCCATACGCCTCCTTCACCACGGCCCTAGTTTCTTCGTCCAACCTATCTTCATCGTTGCTCAAATCCCACAGCCTCTTCTCCCACAACCCCCACCGCTCTGGTGTCAATCCGTCATCCTTCGGCCACAGCTCTGTCTCGTCATCCAGTGG